CCATGGTGGTTGTAGGCTCTGCAAATAAAATCGTACTTATTACCACAGATATAGGTAATAAACTAAATTATTACCTATTTACATAAAAACACATTAAATGAAAAAAAATTATACACGTAAATCATTAATAAAAATGAGTATATAAAAAAATAAAACGATTTATAATTATTAATAATAAACAATATCTAATAGTAAGATGTAAAAAAAAGAACAATAAACAAATAACCAAATAATCATATGCATTTTAAATGTTATGATATTTTAACCTTGTGTCTTGATTTTTGTTTGCAAAAGCGTAAGTAGTGTAAGTAAAATGCCACTAACTTGCTGTGTGCTTGGTTGTGCTAATAGTTATAGTCGTAATTAGATAGCGGTTATCTATCTGTTCCAAATATTAGATAAGTGGTTTTTTTCAAGTACATATATGTTATTAGTAAATTTAAACATGGTCATCTTTTACAATTTTACTGCAGTGTAACAATTTTTTTACCAAATCTTTTTTGCATAGGTTTCCAAATTATAATTCAGTTAAAGAAAAACGCATAGCTGCTATAAAAAGATAATATATTACAGGATATGTAATATTCATTTCACTGACAATAATTGTCTACAACAACCAGATAATATAAATAATAAATATAATAATTACATTAATTATCATTGAAAATATTTCTGAGTTCATGAATTATGAACAAATTTATCTGTGTACAATCACAACGATATACAAATTGATAAAATACCATAGTCTTCAACCATTATGGAGGAAAAGTGGCATCGCCCGGCTTGTTTGTGAATTTATACTAGTTAGCAATCTAGTTTATTATCTATATCTGTGATATGTTTATTTTCATTAGTAATCGCGATTGATGATAGCTTTGACGTTTGATAAGGTGACAAAATATTAATATTTTAATATTTGATGATCACGTGTATTCTGTATTTTTATAGTTTTTATCATTTATCAATTATTAATTATTGAAGAATGAAAATCATATAAAAAAGAAAACTAGAACGCATTTTTGATTTCACCAAGTTTTCAATTCTATTGAATAGGTACTGTTACTGAACACTTTGGTGTTTTTGATGCATAAAATTGAAAAATCTTAAGTGGATGAAAATTGCTGAGAAGTTTGAAGTAGCATCGTCTATTATACATGAACGAGACAGCCACAGCTTGAAAGTGCTTCGGAAAAAATTAAAAAGGAAGGCGACATTGACAATTGTCTTCGTCATTGTCGCCTTCAAAACACATTTACACGTTTATAAGCTCTTTGTAATTTATAATAAATATTAAAGCAAAAACTCGCATGAACAACGGAATCAATAAACAAATATTAAACATTTAACTTGTAGATAATAATTAATAGCGATAATCGTGATTAACACCGCTAATCAGCCAAATTCGGGCGGTTAGTTTTTAACCGTGATTACGCAGTGTTTACGCTTAACTATACTTTGTGCCCGTTTAGTTGCGTGAATCGTGATTAAGGTTTAACCGTGATTAACATATTTGGTGAAATCAGCCTTTATTGATATCTAAAAGAAGAAAATTAAACTTTCTAATTAATAGTACCACAAAAATAACTATATTATAGTGCTTCTCTTGGGGGTTACATCAATATTAGCAATCTTCACATTGTTATTTTGGTTGTTTATAAAAAGGGACTTTATTATTTATTGCATCTTAAATTATTTGTACACGTCAAAAGGAATTTCTAATGTAAATAAAACCAAGTACTCGAATACTTAGTAACGCTGTCCACTTATTACTAGACTTTACATTGCTACATAAGTACTATTTATCCATAACTTGATTTTTGTCATGGTGTTTTCAAGATAGTATAAGGTACTACACCGGTACACGCGTCATATTATTTAAATTTATTCGGGGAACGTAAAATGACAAATGATATTTATTTCAAAATCCAAACCCAACACACATTTGCATTCATAACACACTTTATCTATCGGCGTATCAAAAAATAACACAAAATTATGAATTTGGATTCATCGGATTAGATACTTAAGTATTCAAATATCAACTATAAATATTATGTTCTTAATACTTTTACTCACGATTCTCTGCCACTGTAAAGTAAAATGAAAACATGTATCATATTAAATGTAAACTATTAGACGTGTTAAGTAAATATTAATATTAATATTTGAATACGTTTAAAACATCACATTACGTTTGTATTATTATTAGAACTTGGCAATCACACACATTTATTATATACACTGTTATGCTTGTGTTTAAATTATTTGTGTTTTATTGCAAATAATCTGCATGTTTATTGGTTATAATCAAATTATGAGTATGAAACAAAACTAACGAACACACAAATATATACTTACAGTATGCTATTTCTGTATGTATTAAATAATAAAATAAAAAGACAAATTTTGTAAGAAAAGTTTTTTAAGGGTGTATAGGTGTTTGTTATGAATGAGTAAATTAATACTTTAAACATTTAATAAATAAATCGTTAAGTATTATTATACGTACCTTGTGCAACTGTTTACGGATTTGTAAAAGTTAAAAATAACAAATTACATTTTTTAGCAGTTAAAGAAACAGAGTCAATTTACATAGGTACTATTTTAAAATGGTAACACAATATTTTAGTATTTACGATTTTTTTGAGAGGTATTGGGTAATAAGGTTACAGACAATCGTTTTGGGAACGTTGTCAAATGGGCTTAGGAATATCGTACGACATGAATTTATACAACCGACATGGTTCAGACGATAGAGTAATTTTATACTTTATATAGTCTGATGAGATTACAACTTGTGTAGTATATTATAGGCGATATATGATTACATTATCTTATTAATTTATTTCTCCGGTTTGAAAGAACGGCGTTCCCTCTTACAAATTATCAGATCATAGTTAATTACCAACAGTTTGAACCTGCCCAATTTAATGTCCACTCAGGTGTTCCCCAAGGTGATCATTTGTCATTCTCCTTCTCAATATTTATGTTAATGATCTCCCCGACGTCATCCAGCATTCCTACCGCTTCTTGTTTGCCGACAATCTAAAGCTCATCAATATCATACGAACAAACCGAGATGGAATTAATCTCCAAAATGACGACGATTCATTTTCTGGATTAAATCTAGATTTAGTATCTAATTTTAAGTATCTCGATGTAATGCTTAATTCAAAACTTAATTTTTCTATTCATACTGAAATGATAAAAAATGAAGCAATGCACGACCTATGATTTATTTAAAGAACTTGTCGATTATTCAATGATCCAACAGCCTTAAAATTACTCTACTACCCTCTCGTTCGCTCAAATCTTGAATATTGCCCTTTGATTTGGATAAATAATAATCTTAAGCAAAATAAGGCTATAGAATCAGTGCAGAATAATTGTTTACACTATGTGCCCTTCAAATTTAACATTCTTAGACCTACCCAAGGATCATACCAAAATGTTCTTTCTTAATTTTTTCAAATTAATTATAAATTAAAAATGTCCTTAATTTATCTCCACTCATTGACAGACACTCGTTTCTGCATTCAAGATTCCTAAATAATTTTATATTTGGGACTATTGATTGCCCTGAAATGCTCTCTCTTATTCAATTCAAAATAAATTCCCTAAATACAAGAGATCCAAAACATTTCTATCAATTGATTTCTCATAAAAATTATATTCTTAACTCATCGGCTAATCTTTTATTGTCTGCAGGTAATACATTTGTTTTTGATTATCTTTATCTTTAACTGTCTTTTTTTCTTCTATTTGTACTTTTTATATATTCTATTGTAATTGTTAATTGTATGTTAGATGCAAGACATTTAAGCACTTAGATTTTACTAATTTCTAATAGGACTATCTGTCCGTATATTTGAATAAATAAATAAATAAATAAAGATATCCGTGTAAGTATAATATCTATAATACCTATATTGTTAAAAATTAACTAAGCTTATACTTAGTACTTTGATGTTACGTGATACTAAACGTAGATCACCAAAGATAGGTAATAATAATATAATTATTGTATTATTGATATTATGATATTGTTAATGTATTTTTAAAAATTGTTCTGACTTCTCTGGACTATTAGACTTTGTCCTTTTATTCATTGAATATTATTTTTATAATTATTATCATAATTATGTAGTAGAGCTATAGAATAGATTCTAACCTAAATAGGAATAGAGTAAAATATTTTTTCTTTAGATAAAAAAAAATAACTATGCCTAGAAGCTATTAAACAACAAAACGGTTTCTGTTAAACCATAATAATTACCAACTATGGGTGTGTGTCTTTTTCATGAAAGCTTCATATTTTGTCGTCGATATTAAAATATTATATTTTAATTTCATGAAAAATGGAAAAATTATGAATATCCCAAAAACATATTCTTGAACTTACTTTGATTCGTCGAACTATCAACAGATTCCACTGATAACAAGTGTGGATAAATCACTAGTTAAAAATAAATAATATTATAATTACTATTGAAACTATGATATTGTAAATTATTTATATTAGTTGAATTTCATACCTATTACAACAAATTCATTACAAGATTTAAATATTTAAACATATTTTGGAGTTCCGATTTAATATTTATCTTATAATATATTTATTGACTACTACTAACTATAATAATTTCCAAAATTAGCATTTCCAGGAAAATATTAAATAATACACCCAATAACTAATATTTTAAAGCGAATGTTCAAAACATTATTACCTCTGTATTCTGTGAATATCTCGTGCCTAGTAATCTGATTTAATAAGTATAATATTATAGCAGATTCGCTTTATAAACAAGAATAAGAAAATTATGCCGGTCAACCTTAACTCAATTTCTGGTATCGTGGATAAAGTCATGTTCATTTTATAAAGTTCTAGAACATTCTCGCAATAAATTACTTTCTTATTTCTAAGTTTCAATGTTATCTAATAACTCGTATGCATTTAATAAAGATAATAACCGATGATAATTTAATTGTAGGAAAATATGGCCCAAAGTTAGTGAGGAATATTTATTAAAGTAAATGGTCGGTTACATTTGAAACATTTCACGTGGATATTTCCTATAAAACACCAGTGTTTATAAGATTTTTGAACTAAATTTGTAAACTGTAGGTTAACTCAGTTATCAAGGTTATATATCATATTGTATCGAAGTGAAACATAGTAAAACATCATCAAAGTGCATACCTACAGGTATATTATAAGCTTAATTTGATCGACCATATTATCATATTAAAGAATTTATGGTATAATAAATATTGTGAAACATATGAGTACTCACCATTCAATTCGCCTGCGTATCGATGTAAAAACAAAAAGCATATAGGAAAGTACTTGGTGTAAAGTAAATATAAATCATTGCAGTATAGTATGAATATAATACAATATGATATAATTATAAACATTTAAAAAAATTGTTCGGACATATTATAATATAAAATTGGTTTATTTGTGTATTAATTTAAAATTTCAAACTAAAATATTATAATAGAATCTAATTAAGTTTCAAAATTTAACTCACGTATACGGAAAACTGTATAAGAAAAATAATGGCATGCATTTAAGTTATACTGGTGTTACATATTATTATAATAAAATATTGATAACTAGTTTTTGGGAAATTTACATCGCCAAGCTTCGCTTGCTTCATACCAATGTTTAGATTATTTATTATTTTCAATTTAGAGACGATACATCTCGTTATTAAAAAATTAAATTAATAACACGAATTGTAAACTTTTCTAGTTACGTTTTCTCCTGGTTTTTCACAATTATTAAAATATGACAAGAAAAATCAAAAAATCGACAATTAATGTCCGAATGTGATAAAATATTATTTTAAAATATTTGTTACTCTTAAATTCAGAACAAACTTTCTGTTAAAAAAAAAAAAATTTGAAAATAATGAAACTTTAACTACCGTATATTCGTCTGTTTTTTTATAAGTAGACACGTTTTTTGATCTGCTCAATAGACCAATTAGATCAAAATTCTATGAAGAAAATGTCTGGTAGTAAATTAACTTACAGGCATAAAACAAAAAAATCGTTATAAATTTTTTAAAAAACCTATTAAATTTTAAAATGTATTATATAATTTAATTTTTTCGTTGAAAAATCAGTGAAATTTTAATGTTTTATGTGTAAATAATCGCCTAATTTAAAATTATAATTAAATAGTCAATGTTCAGACCAAATAAAATGCAATTTACTTTAAAATATTAATTGATATTTGATAGGTATTTATATAGTACTTATGCGTATCAACCATTTAATATATTAATATTTAAAATAAAATATACTTACAATGTTGACGTACTGTGTATTGCGTAAATTAAAATTAAATAATTACTAAAACGTTGAAATGATACATTAAAACAAGATATTTGATAACTTGACACTTAAACATTTACCGATTTCAATTCAAACAATGTGAATATGATTATAATGCGCAGATACATAACTCACATGTTATTGCAAATTACTTTTCATTTTAAATGTTAGTTTTGGATGTTTGAACATTATGCTCGATTACTTTCAACGTATAAATATGCGATTAATAGACCAAGAATGATAGAAATGATAGCTGTTTTCCATAATGTACTACATTCAAGCTAAATTATTATATACGAGAGAGAGAGAGAGAGAGAGAGAGAGAACAACTAAGATGTGGTATTTTCAGTATAATTATTAAACAACATTACCTATATTAAAACTCGAAATTATTGACATAACCAGAAATAATAAACTATTGAGTCGATTTGTCGAATTTGTTCAAACACGAATTATTACATTCACGGGACGTGGTATCCACTGTTTTACTGATCCAATGAGTATATTAGTAAGTATAAGGACTATATTTTTTCCAAGTTGAGATAATGTTGCGGGCGATCGTTTAGAACTAGGTCCAGGTACCTTATAACTGAAGTCAAAAATAAATGGACGCTTTATACAAATATTTATTTAGTAGTAAAAATATTTAATCAATTATTAATTTTCGTGAAATAGACTAGCGTGAATGTGCCTACAACAAATAGCTCTAGATTTGTCTGAATAGGCGTTGTCGGGCTAATTTATACCCTGAACCACGCGACCAGGCACTTACTTACTACGCACTTTTCGATAAAAACACGTTGTTGCGTACTTTTTCCACGATAGGGTTCACACGCTTCGATCCTCGAGTTCTTATAATTGGTTTTAGAATATGTATATTGATGATACTTAACATCTATAAAATATCTAATTTATTGCTGTGTGGTTCCTTCATAAATTATACTCGAGATTTAGCCTACGATTAGGCAGACTTCGATAACCCGTTTCCCGACTGGTGAATGCAAATTCTGTACGTAGATGTTCACTATTTAGCCGACTTGTCCTAAGACTAAGAAACGACGCCATAACAGTAGTTTTTAGTAAAATCTTAAGTGCACTATTTATACCATAACTTCCTGATTTTGGGATTATTCTTGGTCTATTTATCTTACGACAGATAAAACCACAGAGATTGAAAAGTGACTGTTTTCGATATAGAACTATTAATAAATACTGTAATATATTATAATATAGATCTTTAGTTGTTGTTTCATAATATAATATATTGACTTACTAAGTGCAATTTCTATATACATCAAAATCGTAAAAAAAATAAAAAAAAAATTATTATAATAACATATTAAGGAAATGATGTACATGATACAATTTATAAGCAATTGAATTAAAATATGACAAAAAGTCTGGCGTTAAACGTTTACGTTGTCTTACAATAATAACTTAAATCTTTAACATAGTTGTCGGAATTTAAAACGATTTTCATTGAATATACACATACGTATTTTATATCACTCATAAATGTATAACTTACGAAGCCCGAAATCTGTATATATTTAAAAACACGAAAATAATGTATAATATTATACTATAGGTTAGTTGATAGGTGTACTACTCATAGGCGCAACTAGACCACCAACTTTGGGGGTGCTAAAATTATGGACACGTCAAAGATCCACGGGGGCTATGCATACACAATCCCCTTTACATGACTCTTACAATTGATAATCAAATACTTCTTTCATTTAAAATTTTGTAAAATTATTTTTTATGCACACATACATTGTAGGAAACCTGTATTTTGTTCTGCTCATTCACTATGAAATAAATAGATAAAATATTTAGTCATTACTATGAAAAATCTGATTAAGTTTTTTTGAAACACTAATTTTAAACTAAGAGGTGCTAAATACCCGTTATAACTTCCTAGTTGCGCCTATAGTACTATACTACTAATTTATGTTTCTCAAGGATAATATGTAAGAGAAATGGGAATACAGAGGAATATCAATTGGTAATTATATTAATTAATACATTTGAACTTACTACAGTTTCCCACTATGCATTAAAAAATAATAATTACATTTGTATATTTATATTTATAATATTAAATTTAACGCTTACATAAGATAAATTTATACATAACACTATAACTATGCTACCTATGTTCGTCTATGTTATTTATTGTTTACACAAATATAAACAAATATTTCATTAATTTTTCAAATTCATCATTACTTAATACATTTTACACGACTATCAAATATATGATACATATAATGTATTATACATCGCCCTAACAAAACCTTTGGATAAGAATTGACCATCAATAGCCGGAATTTCATTCGATTTGTTATCAAATATATCATTTTTTACACTTGAATCCGTCTTGAGCACCAAATATTTATTCTAATATTCAGGTAATCCAAATGAGTTTCTCACCAAGTTCAACTCAACTCCGTTGAGTTCTAAAAATTATCTTTCAAATTTATCCTCTAAGGTAATTATTTATAGGAAAAGGGTAAGGTTAGGCCCTAACCTTACCCTAACCGTTAGGGTATGTTAGGACTTAGGGTAGGTTGGAAAGGTGGTAAAGGAGACATTTAATGTGTATCTGTAAGCAACGATAAACCATTACTAACAAAAACGATTCTGATCGGAGTTTAGTTGATAGTGTTGCTTTGTCAACAATGTACATTTCATATTATATATTATAAGAGATTTTCTGTTTCATGCATCTTTTTCTAAAATATCTGTGGAAAACAAAAAATAAATTCTTCTTTAAAAAATACAGAATGCAAATATTTGCAAATACCAATAGGTTTTGTGCACACGATGCCACGTTTGTTAATTTATCAAGTTGAATTGAAAATAATCTAAAGGCAGCACTTAAGCAGACTTAATCTTCTGGATTACTTTATTTTTAATATTAATTGCCATACCTTCAATTGGTCTTTGAATAGTATTGTCTGATAATGGAATTGAAGTAAGCTTTTTTGAAATCCATTTTCCAATACAAATTCTACCATTTTAAGGGCACATGACTTGATTAAAGTTGAACCAATTGTATGTCTTTTTTTGTTTTGATTTTTCTAGAGCAACTATATAAGAAGCATCAGTAGTTTTATGGTTGATTTTTTTAAAAAGTCTAGTTGTACCAAGTTTCATTTTTTTAAACATATTTTTCAAATTATATTCGAAAAAATGTTTGCATTTGCCTTTACTTCGAGGATGAACATTGTCTAAATGTTGATTTAATTCTATAGGTTTCATATAATCACTAAATAAAACTTTATTGTAAATATCACACTGAGGTTTCTCTTCTTTTTTAATTTTGATGGATGTAAACCCATATTGAACATGACTTTCGTCGTACTTTCTTTCTTTTCAACACATTTTATGTATGTATCAAAGTTAAGTGCGGCTCTACTGACGTGTAAACGTTAAGTCCGTCAAGATAACAACGTTTCAACACATTATTTGGTTCATATTTGAATTCCATTAACCGTAATCGTAGACCGATAGATCGGCCTAACCTAACATCGTGCGAATTAAACGTTGTACATATCAAAGTATCAACCTTAGATTACGTGCATAAAGGTAAATCATTAAATTGGTAAGACGATACGCGAGTTTTAATATTTTAATATTCATTTAGTAAACAAAATAATTTATTGCAACTTTTAAGTGTAATTTTAGATATTTTTTACTGAAATAATGCAATTAATTTGAATACTTTTTTAGTACAGTAACTTCCGATCTATAACCTATTTAACAATATTTATACACTATAGCTATGTGGTTAAAATATCTTACATGATAATATTTTCATCATAAAATCTGCTTCGTGATCATCATAATCTGGTAATACTAAATATAAAAAAAATATTATTGAGTAGTGTCTAGTGATTAAAAAAAAAAACACAATATTATATGCACTGGTGGAGCGAAATACTTCTATATGATTAAAAAATTTTATTTGAGTGAAGTATTTGTTTTATGAACAAAATTTAATATAATATATAAATTAATTTTCTTATTTTTCTTAACAATATATACATCGGAAAATATTAATATTTTTTAGAACTTGTTTTATAGAACATTTAAAAAACAAGCAGCCTTACAATTTTACATCCATTTTACTCTTTGTAACACTTAGTTTTGAGAAGTAAAACTACTACCTACTTTTGATTTTCAAATAGACCTACATAAACCTATGTTAAGAATTCCATAAATAGATGCAATATTAGTCAAAATAAATTTTGGTTTTAAAATTTTTGATTTCCGTCAATCCCTTAATAAGATATTTCACTTTTAAATTCAGTTCCGGGGAGAGTAGTGGTGTATTACAAAAACGCCGCACGCTTTGCACCACACGAATAATGCTCCACTTCTCTCCCCTGATCCAAACTTAAAAGTGGAATATCTCGTCAACGGAATTTATGGATTTTTTAATATAGGTTGCCATTTGAAAATCAAAAGTAGTTAGTGATTCAACTCCCTAAAAATGAGGGTTACAAATGTAACTTATATGTAAAATTGTAGAGCTGCTTGTTTCTTAAATGGTCTATAAAACAATTCTAAAAAAAGTTGATATTTTCCAAAATAATTTATGTTGAGTGATTAATCACTCTGTATATTTATATATATATATTTTGATAATACAATATTTTTGAATCTCATATTATATAGAATAGAACAACCCCTCCTAATGGCGCATAGTCAAACTAAAATACTTTAATTCTCTTTCTACTCCTTCGCCTTCATTACAATTACTTGGGGTATCTATATAAGATACTTTATTTAGTAGTTATGATTAATTAATTTATATTAAAAAAAAAAAAAGTAAGTATACTCACCAGGATAAACTTTGATAAACGAAAAAAGATTATATTGTTAGTAAGTATTAAAATAAAATTGTAATTCCAGTTAAACTTAAAAGCTAAAAAAACCTGTCGAGATTGTGTTTCACAGATTTTAACTATGTAAACGAATTATGATTCTTTAGATTTTTTAGGAAATAAAAATTGATTTATTTGATTGAAAAGAGTAATAACATTTTTAAAAATACACTTGAAATATTTTGTCTTTTACCTATCATTAAGACAATTCAAATTCAAAAAAAAATCCCAGCGTATCCCAGTGAAGAACTTTTATGCGTTTTTAAAATTAAAATCTTTTAAATGTAATTCTTGTCAACAGAGGTGCAGGAACTATTTTTCATATAGTTACAAAATTATAGCACCATATATATTTCCTGAGACCCGTGTTTTTCCATATGATATGCATGCAGGGAAAGGCCTCATCTACCCGTTTATGGTCACATACTCGTTTGATATTTCACCGTTCGCGATAATCCCCCGATTAATATCCTTGTCGAACTTTTCCTCACACATTAACCTTTTACAAACAATAAATAAGTGAACTTTAATTAATAGAATGATACTGGTTTAATTATTATAAGATTAGTGCCCTCATACTTATTTCTATGGTTGAAACTGGTAACTATTATTAGTTTATGTTTATTTTTTTTTTAGTTAGAGACCTAATAAAATATATACGCCTCAAAATAGTTTGTGGTTTACACCCCTTTTTATTATTGATTAGCTTTTAAAAAATAATTATACTGTACAAAAATCTATGAATATTCTTTTGGCTAGCTATAATGATCGCGATAAAAACGAATACTTAATTAGAATAGCATATAATGTTTAAGAAAAAAAATTCTACAGTTTTTTTTTTTTTATAGTATTTGTTTAAAAAAAAGTCAATCAATAATAAAAGGGGTGTACACTGGTTATTTTACCTTTATAATACTATCTATTAAAATTCACTTATTTTTTACTTGGATAATATGGTACATTAAAGTATATTATGGACGGAGAAATACCCGATGAGGAAATGGAGACGAGGATGCGACCCACCTCTCATATGTATGTTCTTTTTTTATTCTTCTCCCAGTGCTAGTATGTTTAGATTTTGATTTATGGACAGCATTGATAAATGTTTTTTCTTTGAAAATATGTGAATCGGAATTGCATTGCCGTTTATTTGCCGAATTCTGGCGAAGCCCATCCTTTGTTACAAACATAATTAAATTGAATTTCTATAGATGTATTTTATTGTCATATATTATAAATTTATAACGCATGAAATTACACATAATTTATGTAGTGAATAATGATGTCACAGAACGACAGAATCATAATCAATTTCATATGGTTTTTTAAAACCATATAATACCAGTTATGTTATAAAATAATGAAATAGTATTTATTTGAAATTTGAATATTAATTGTTTTTTATCCTAAGGGATTAATAAAGAACATTAATGAAATTTGAATGTTCATATTTGTTTTTGTTATTCATAAAATATTATCTATGTTTCATTAGGGAAGCGAAATTATATATTTCTCTCCTTATTCTTTAAACGGTAAAAGAACTTGCCCTCTCTGCTAGGCAGGTAATAAGTATTATTGTATTAATAAAAATAGCTTACCCACTTCTAATATTTTATAATGTTCAATTTCCTCTAAAACACAATAATGAGAAAAATTCAAAAATACGTTTTTTAACAGGAAACCGAAAAAACTAATTTTGAAATTTAAGACGAATTGTTAAAAAATTTGAAAAAACAACCGGATATACACGATGTTTGGGCCACTGTTGTTGGTGAGAAGTTGGAAAGTAAAGGAAAAATTGAATGTGTATTATGTATGCAACAATTAATTATCACTAATGAAAAACAATTCTCAGCGAAATTCGGTTAGGTTCAGTTTTGAAAGGCCATAATATTTACGATATCAAAATAATACATTTCGTACATTTTTCCAAATTATTTCCCGGATTTTCCCATTTTTTTTTATAAAAACCCATGGGAAAATAAAAAAAAACCTATTTAATGTACCACTTTAGTCAAATTGTCTTTCATAAAAGGTACTACACTTGAAAATCAGAGCAAATTTTTTTGATAGAAAAGTTGTACACAGAAAAAAATAAACACCATTGTAAAACCTCCCTAAACTAACCTAACCCAGCCTCGCTCAGCTCATAATCTAAAAATAGGTAAGGTTAGGTTTAAATAAAATAGTATGATAAATTTCCTTGACGGAATAATTGTATTTAATAATTTTAATGCGTATAAAGTGTTATCGTATTACTATTGTGAGACCAAGACAATTTTAAGCAAATTTTATTTTAATAAAAATTATATTTTAAATTTTGAATGATTTTTTATGTTTGTGTTGCCATTTTTTTTTTAAACTTTAATACGTGGGAAATCATAGAAAATAATCCATATAATTATAACGATTTAGGGCTACGAAAAAAAATAAAATACAAAATTGTAGTGCAGCTTGTTTCTTAATTGGTTTAGTTGACGAATCCCGGATAATGATTTAGATGGAAAAATGATTGAATTGAGTTATTTTGAAGATCATGATACTTACCTCTTAATTTCTTATAGTCTGAATTTAAAAATATTTTGAAGTTGTATGAATAGTCATCATATGTTAATATTAGTTGAGTTTTATATTAATAAATAATATTATGTAACAATTAATAATAATTACTAGGGCTGTAAATTTAATGCAGTGAAAAACCTTAAAAATGCACAAAAAAAAAAACTCACAAATTTCCAGCTTTTCGAAATCTTCGTCTTCTATCTTTTTATTGGGATCTAAGTAAATAATGATACTCAATTAATTATAATATATTTCATAACGTTTAACGCTTTTTTGAAAAATCCCCCATGTTCTTATTTTCATAAAAACTATAAAAAAATCATTACTAAACTAACATTTCAAAAGTGCCTTTAATTTCGGGAGGACTCTAAGGAAACTAATACTTTTCACGTGTGTTTTATATAATGTTTTTTGTTCAAAACTATAATTATTCAGGTGATCGTTAGTCAATTTATGTCTTATGACTACCACGAACTACATTCCTTTGTCAATCTGCATTGCACATTTCAGCTCGGGCCATAACACTTTACAAAATAAATACTTGGGGAAGCCGTTCGCTGGCCACAAATGACATGAGTGAATCCATTAATCAGTACATCTTATGGGTAAGTATAACAAATACTTGATACTTAAAATGCAATACATGATTATAAAAGCGAACCGAACAAATCTTCTTTAGTCTTATTGTTATAAATATCTCTCACACAATTCTCATCTGTAGATATGGAAAACTTATTCTTAGGACGAAAAAAACTCTCCCTGAACAACTTATTTCAAAACAATGATTTCACGACTATCTCATAATAAGATCTGTTTATCTAATAATAAGATAATACAATTAATATTATAGTTTCAAAAGAACCATCAAATTCGCTTATAATAATTCTTCCTTAAAAATGTTAAAAACATAAAATGCAACTTTTTAGAAAATGTATTGAGAATTTCAAACGAGTATTTAAATGAAGAACCATTAAATAGAACATCATCAAATTTAAAGCAACGAAATATGAAAATCGGAACACTTTAACTAACTGAAAAAGTGTTCCGAGAAAAAAACAGTTAGTAAAACTAATAGTTTGTTCACTACAATTCCATTTTTAAATAGAAAATGTTTCTGAATTAATAAATCGAATTTTTCTAAACATATAATAAATTCTACGTAAAAAAAACACTGTTTTTTCGTAAAACTAATATTTCGTTTTATCAGCCGATTATTTATTGCACGTTTTCATTCAAATTTTTGAGATATTTTTTCCGTAATTTTTTTTTCTGTATATAAGTATTTGAATTTCCCAAAAATATATTTAAAGTGTTTAAGCGTTAAAGTGTAAATACAATTTTTAAGTGCAAATAAAAAAGTAATAACTGATAATTAACTTACGTATATTAACAGTTCTTTGATTATATTGCTTTATAGTTTCGTTAGTAAAAGGCAGTTCTAATAAAAATCAATTATACATATTAAAACAGATTTAGAAAATACTAGAAAAAATAAGGATGAAAAATAAATCTTTGATTTTTTTTTTTTCAATCCTATAGCGTACTTACATTATAGAATACAGAAAAATAATATTAACAATTGCTGTTTGATTATTTTAACAAAAATGAACCCATTTTACAGCATTAATTGAGTACCTATAGTTGGCTACTTATTAAATATTACGTTATACACAAACCTATATCATTGCAGTTACTGCAGCAATACGAAATGCCGAACACCGACATCATCGTGACGGCAAAGGTTAGTACTGTACGTTCGGAAAACATCATTTATCTCGGCGTTATTTATAATGCTTTACACGGCATATATTCTTATGGTATACATACAAAAATGCAGCCTACCGTCGATGGTCTAAGCAAAACTATAAGTGATTTTTTTCTGTAACTCGGAGTGTAATAATTTGTATGGGTTCGTTCACAGAGGAACGGCATTGTGATCAGACCATAAGTTGCAACTGCGCATACATTTGCAAGCTGGTAAATAAAATATTTCCGAATATTTTTCACGTTGCGGGTGGAAATACATATTTTCTGTAGGTATGTGTTACACTAAAATCAACTGTTGAATCCTACGCCGTTGCAGTACACGGGACGAACGAGAAAATAAAGCGACGGTAATAATCGTACCCTCTTTAACCACCATAGGTTTTGTTTCGACGCCTCTGCAACGGGATTGTTGCTTACAAATTGCAATAATACTAACAGTGGAATTTCAATATAACGTACAAAAATAAATTTATCACAATGAAAACCTACATCGTGTGCGTCGAATACCAAGGCGATAGAAATATTTTAAATGCTTTAACGCGGCCGTTAGTCATGTTACGTAATGAAACAAAACGTTCGCCTAAAAACAGAAAAAAAAAAAACGTACTCTTTGTAACGGTTTATTTGTTTTTTATTTTTTATTTCCAACCGTAAATATTAGTAGCCGTCAAGTTAAATTAAATTATTTGTATTAAATCATCGCAATTCATCAAATACAAACAATTATGTACAAATTGTATACAAATTAATTAAATAAATTACTTAGCCCCTTTTTGATATTACAACTTTTTTAACTTGAGTTTTTATTTTCTCAGCGCGGTTTTTACACGTAATTGACGAAGGTTTCTTGATGGAATATTATATAAATTCATTAGTTTTTATTTTTTTTTTCAAATCTGATCGTTTTACGTTTTTAAACTTGAATTTGAACTTTTATCGCAGTGGTTATATCGGGTTAAAATCATTGCAAACGATAAGCAATTGTAGATTAAAGCTATTCTTAAACTTTAATTGGGAATTCCGTTTTAATTCATATTTGTATCTAACTTTAAAATAAATTATAATATTGTTCATGTTTTTAAAGAACTCAGTCGAATGAAAGTTAAAGTAGAGTAAAAGTTAAATTAGACGAAAGTTTTTTTTTTTTTTTAGATAAGACAAAAAACACCCAAACATGTTCATGTGTGTTTTTAAATACGCGTGCATTACTAAATACACGGATTTCATAACTACACGTGTACTCGTGTATGTACACGTGAAATCACAAGCCCTAATAAAAATTATCAGAGTTTGGCGAAATTATGTCTAGATAATTAGATTATTCGAATGAGAAATTATTTGAATTAATTTTTTACAGTTATTCAAATAAAAATGTATTCGAATAATTTTCGTTTATTTTATTTGGTTAAACATTGGTTGGTAATATAAAATGCGTAAATATCAAAAACAATAGTTAGACTTGTATTTTTAAATTACGCTATTGTAAATTTATTTATCGATTTTATTTTTGTCACTGATAAACCGGCATTAAGGCAATTAAGATAAGACATCACCCGTGCAAAACGATCGCACTCTATTGATGTATACTATAGTGCCGTCATTATTACGGAACGTGTAAATATCGCTCGGCTTTCTAGTTTCTATTTATTATATAATTTGTGGTTTCAAGTTTACCTGTCTACTCGATTTAAAATCAATTAACTATACCAAAGTACGGATTATATGTAATATAAAATATTTCCTCTTTGGTCCCAACGGTATTTTTTTATAGAGCTCAATATTAAGTTTGAAAATTATTCGAATGAATTTTAATTTGAATAATTATGAAATATTCATCTGAATAATAATTTATTCGAATAAAATTACATTTAAATAATGCCCAACTCTGGGTATTGTGACACAATATTCTATGAAAATGACTAGTGTGCAGGAAAATTATTTTTTTTGTTAAAAACAAGTGTTTCGAAAATTATATTGTTTTTTCGCATGTGGTTAAAATGCTGTTTATTAACAGCGTCCAACAAATACTTAACCCATAAATTACATTTTTTCTTTTAAGTTTTTATTGTGTGCGATAAATCCATAAGTCATTAAAATTCGATTTTTGTTATCGGATAAATCTCATTTTTTTTTTTTTATCTAGTTGGTGCATTGAGGAAATCATTATTTAATTTCTTCAATCAGTTTTCAAAATATATAGAAAAATCGGAGAATGGAATATAAAAAAAAAGCAGACATATTTACGCTAATAAAAGTTTCATATTGTTTTTTCTTATCTGTGCACAACTTTTTTACCAGAAGACTTGTTCGGATTTCTACGTGTAACACCTTTTATGAAAGTAAATCGACATGGAGAGTATACTTTCCATGATGCGCTGATATCAACGAAATTGGCCGATAATTTGAAGGACCCATTAGGTCACCTGCATTATATATAGGAATAATTAATGATGTTTTATATATTTGAGGAAATACGCCTTTCGAAAAACTTAAATTAATTAAATGAGTAATTGGCTTTACAACGAACTCTGCTATTTGTATTGAAACATTTGAAGAGATGTAATCGAAACCCGGCGATGCTCCTTACCTTAAAGATTTAATGAGTAGTAATACCTCTTGAATCGAAAATTTAACAAATACTAACTTATTTTTAGCAATATATTAGCGATACGAAAAAACATAAAAATAGATATAATATTAAAGAAATTATTATATAATGTATATATTTTATTTATTTTACCATGTGACATATTATACTTTGTTGACAAAGCAACACTATTAACCGAATTATAAATCGTTGCTTACAGATATACATTAAATCCCCCTCTAACTTCCCAAATTCTCACAAGGTGCAAAGTTTGTCCGACCTTTTTAATTGTTTAAAATCAAATTTTTACCAAAATCGTAAAAATCACTGCACTTCCAAAACATATGTAATCAAAATTTGCTCAGAATCACATTTCGTCATCAATTTTTGATCAATGCGTACAGGTGTAATTTAAATACGTTTACATATCCTACTTCTCCAACTTACTACCATTAGCAGTGGCACACTCATCCTTTGTATCAGCTCTTTTCAATTATATTATTTAAATATGCAACTGGTCAGTAACATAACTCTAAAAAGGTTATGATAATAATGAGCGACCTTGTGTGGTTGGCTGTAGAACAAGTTATGAGTCTTCTTTAAATTGTATGTCCGATTATTTATGAGGTGATATCTTTTGTCCACTTCAATTATGACTCCCGTTTTGTACCGATGTTTTCTTACTTTAAGTGAAAAATTGCTACTTGTTATAATTTGTTTTATTTAAATAGGTTCTAACATTTAGGATTTTATCCCATATAGTATACATAGTGTTATAGTATTTATTTATCCGTTCCTTCGCTCCAGAATACATATATGGGAACCCTGACACCCTATGTGTAAACCATATGGATAACTCTATAGATAAAACTGTTAGTCCAAACAGAAAACGTTTTTTGTCCCCAGCCCTTCGCATTGGAATTTTCAAAAATTTTTTTGGCAAACATTTAGCATGTAATCAGCATGTATTTGCATACCGAATTTTGTAATTTACATGCGTTTTAATTAGGCGTGATATCAAAACCTAGGTGGGAGATTGTAGATATATGTCTCCGACCCCCACACATAAAAACCACTTATTTTCAAATTTCTTTCTACACCAATATTTAGCATGTAATTTACATGTATTTACAAGGTTGGTCCCGCAACTCCATCGTCATCCATTGGTTCGCAAAACCGTTTTCTTAATTCTCACGTGCCCCCAGCTCTCCATTTTGCGAAATACTTGGAATCGGAAAATCGTTTTTAAGCCAATATTTATCATGTAATTAGCACGAATTTGCGAATAACTTGCAATACTATAGGTTAAACGTATGAAAACAGTTATTAAAACTATAAAGATAATAAATAATTTAAGATTTTCTTATACCTGAATATTCCCAAAAAGAATATTTTGAACAAAAGTTATTACGTTTTGAAACAATAAAGGCCTTTTTTCATTTTTGATTGTAGCAAGATTTCCGGTAGAAAAAGTAAATCGTAACAAGTAACATTTTAAAACAAAGGAAACATAAAGCCGTTAATTTATCAGTTTTTATTTTTTGTCTTTTTCTGGTTTTCCCGATTATAAAGGTAAAAATAATTAATGTGATTTTACTCTTTAAACTCTTTAAATTTAAATTATTAATCTAAAAAAAATAATAATAACAGTTACTAATACCTTTTATTTAAAATTTAACAATAATTATATTCTTAGAATAAAATACAATTTTCCAAATTATATTTTATTAATTATTGAAAAAAAATACATAATTTACTGTTTTACAATGGTACAATTTTATATGTTAAAAAGAAAATAATATCTTTGAACATAATTTAAAATATAATAATCCTCCTTTGCTCGTATTCAAAGTTAATATTGTGTTATTATATTAATACTATACATTACAAATAATTTTCCTTAGACTATTTAAAATATAATATGTGTTGAGAAATTTGATAAAAATATAAAATTCACATCCTTTCGGTATACTAACAACTGTATACACTTAAGGGACGTAGGTATTTAATATTACTTGCATGCGATTGGAATTCAATTTTTTTTTATGTATACAAAAATATTAATTTTTTCTTTACAAGTGAAAATGTTTATCAAGTACACTTATAATAAATACATATTTGTTGTTACAGAGCTACATCAGCAGGTGCCGTCTTAAAACTAGCTCTTCGCTTAGGATTACGGCGCAAAGTACCGAGGACATTCATCATCTCATTGACAACCGGTGGTGGCTCTTGTTTCTTCACTGGTGTTTGTTTCTAGAATGATAACAAATGTTATATAAAATTCTTATATTCTAAACGGTGAAAAAAATATTGGGTTTCGAATTTTATTTTTGAAATAAGTCCGACACTGATATAGATGTTATTTACTACTATAAATCTTAATATTTTTCAGATAATTAAAACATTATTATTTAGATTGCGATCTGTTTTTAAACGGAGATGTACTTATTTTAAGTAAAATATTTAAAATGGTTTTGAAATAAAGCTTAAACGATTCCATAATATAAAAAATATGCTTAAATTTGAATATAAAATCAAAACTGTAATTTCAGATTCAAGAAAAAATCGTTTATACTTATTCAAAATATTATCAAAATTAAAAATTGTAAAAATCAATAATGAAATTTTGTGTTGAAAATATACTGATATATAATTAACAAAAATACAAATTTAAACAAACAAGCCCTCCTAGAAAGGAGAAAATTTTATGTTTTCGATGGAAATGATGCGTTTTTATTTTGCTACAAACGGATAATAATATTATTACAATTTTCTATTTTAGGTTAGGTGTATAAATGGTTATCAACTGGCAACATAGTATTATTTGTTTACCTCTTTGTCCGTTGCTTTTAGGCTGAAACGACCTCCTTTGATTTGATTTATTATCGCATCGATGGCACCTTTATAACGACATTTAAAAATTGCAATTAAACATTTGGTACAATAGTTAAATTAAAATTGTGTATATTATTGATATACTTGCCATTTTGAACTTGTGGGCCCTTATTGGGGGAGCTCAGCCCCAAGTAATTGCCCATTTCTTCGATGGCATTTGATTCGTCGTTATTTGTGCAGTTTAACGTGCTTACAGTTTTCAATTTGATGTTCTGCAAGTTTGACATCGATGCCATTGATGTTGGTGGAGGTGGTGGTGCGGGTGGCATCATCATTGGTGGTGGTGGGGGAGGTGGTGGCGGTGGGGCACAAGGAGGTGATATAACGGACGTTTTAGTTTCCTCCAATTTTTTCCTGAGTTCGTCAACTGATAACGAAAATTAAAAATAAAATTTAACTTTTATACTTTCGAGAACAAAGTCAATACTCAAATTGGTATTATACAACTCCGATAAAGCATACCACGGTAGAAAATTGTTACATGAAATATTTTTCTTTCATATTGAGGTACGATAAAAAATTAGGCTTTGACACTTATATTAATCAAATATAATAAATTGGAGCTGTTTGCGTTTAGATGAGTTTGTAAAAATTGCATTGTATTTGGGTAATTTTCCACAATGCGTTTGAGCGAGTGATTTTAAAATATTGTTATGTGTTTGGACGACTTATAACGATCCGTTTCCTCTCCCATTTTGACAGATTTTGAGACTATTTGTAAATTCCACGAGTATGATTAAACATTTTCAATCGAAATTTGCCGTTTATTTCGTTTAGTATTAAAGGCGTTTTCAATGTTATGACTTATATTTGGCACGCGACTTGTAATAATTAATAACTACGAACTAGTACTAAATAATAATAACTGAAATTCTACAGATAATTCACGTTTCCAATGTTCGAGCAAACCCGATATTTGAAAAACTATAATTATTAAACATAGATCAATCATAATAATAATAATGATAATATATTGATATTATTACTTAGAAAAAAATCGCAATTTTTGTTATTTTATCTGGTTGATGATACAGAAAAATCAATTGTAAAGTATTATAATATGCAGGTATTCTATGACATTTTTAATAATGTGTTGTTTAAAAATTTATCTTTTATATTTTACATCGTACTCATTATACTCGCTTGAACACGTTATTTGAAATTTGTTCAAACACATTATGAGGAACTCACCCAAACACACTGTTTCTATTATGCGGGAAAACAGGTAATTCGCCCAAATGCATGACACCTAATAAATTGAATAAAAGGTTCCGATTTTAAAACGAAAACAATGTTTAGAATACAATTTTACAATTTTAGCTCAGAATATAAATATTTGTCTATAAATTTACATTTATTATTTAAACTATATAATATTTTTTGCATGCATATTATTATGGTTTTTACCTCGTGCAACAGTGAAATTCAATTTTTTAAATAATGGCTACGTACCCTGCGATTCGGCGATTTCAGCTCTTTGTTGAGAACACAGTAACTCAGCTTCAGTCAATTTTAATTTTTCTTCATAAAGTTCAATTTGTTCAGATTCACTTTGAGATTCTAATTTTTCCTACAATTTTGTAATAATAGAATATTATATAAATAAACGGAATTTTGTCGGGATTTTGACGCTTACTTGTAAGTCTTTCAACTGTTCAGCATGTTCTTGCCTCTCTTGGCTTAACGTCCTCTGTAATTGTTCTACCTCAAACAGTAGTTTCATGATTTTTTCATCTGAAGCTGCGTCCATCATTAGCAATTGACTTTGGCGGGCGAGCACGTCTCTTTCGGATTTCACCTGCGTAAATCACCAACCACGATTATTTTATTATCCTATCCAAAAATGAATAGGTATATATCTCCTTACTTTGTTCGTGTCGCTACGGATTTTTTCGCCCTCCGCCTTCTCTTTCTTGTACCGTTGGTGTAACTCGGTCGTTTCTTCGACTACTTTACGGCTCACCGACTCCAAATTTTCATGCTTCATCTTCAGTTCCTATAAAAATACATACATTTACTCAATACTCCTAATTAAAATACCGACCCGACAAATATGTGTTGCAAAAACAACGTGTATTAAACATAATAATTACTTTGAGTTCTTGTTCAACACGTGATCTCATCCTACGTTCTTCTTCCAGCTCAGAAGTCAAGTCTACTGTCTGCTCTTGCGCTTCAAACTCTTGGAGTTTAATTTTATTTAATTCCGCTTGTAGTCTTGAAACTTCCTGAGTGAGTTCTGTAAACATAATAATATGCGTATATTATATTTTCAGTTTCTTTTTTGTTAAGGCAAATCATTATTTTTACCTTTTATGGTTTTCAGGAGTTCTTCCATTTCCGTGTCGTTATCGGTACCGTCCGTATCGTCCGTTAAATCGTCCAACGTAGACGGTGCCACCGACTTGACTTTTTGCATTAACGCCGAACTCCGCCTTTTCAGCTCACGGTTTTGTTTATACCACTATAAGTTATTGAGACGGGTGCAGTACGGTATCAATTAAAATATAATTGTTGATTAAGAACTACATAGTTAATTAAAATTACATTTTGTTTTATATATATATATATATACCTGCGAAGCTCGTTCCATCGCCTTTTGCAATGTGCCCGTCTCGAGTTCGTACTGTTGTTTTAATTGATCGTATTCCTTATACATTGCTTCCGAAACTGTATTATTATTCAAAGTGCACACAAACAATAGACAATATTATTATTATAAATGAGATATGTTTTACTAAAATTTTTTTTTTAAAAAACACGCAATACGCACGTTTCCTTAATTGGGAAAGTTGTAAGGTTCTTTCCGACAGTTCTTTTTTCGTTACTTGGAGATCTGTGTGAAGTTTTGTCATTTGGCGTTCCATGTCCGACTTTTCTCGTAACACTATAATTAATATAATATAAACAAAACCATATTTTTGAAAAAAAGATCTTCAAGAAGAATAAAGAACCATGTAGTTTAATAGGAGTCATAAAAACAACAGGTGGAGACCTGCAGATCAAAAGTGAGCCAGAGGTCGACCTGGACAATGATGGATGGACAAGATGCTGTAGGATGATTTTAGGGCTATTAGAGTGGTGAATGCGTAAGTAAAAGTAAAGCAATAGAAAAGTTTGTTTAGTCACGTGGTTATTGCGGCGAAAGATCATATAGGCATCCCTGATACAATAAAAAAATAAATTTTACTCACGTTTTTGAGACTGAGTTAAAAGAGTTTTTCGCTTGGTCTCCGTGTCATCGTATTTGGTTTTCCAACGGTTATCCACGTTTGTCGTCGAACCACTGGAGTTCAAAACCGGCAATGACTTGACGGTGGTAGTGGTAGGAGTAGAAAACTTAGACGGAGTCACAGATTTGACGGAAGTTAATTTTGGGCTGCAAGTGTCGGATTTGCTACCACTGTACTTAGAAGATGTAATTTCCGTCACCAAATGAGACGGCATCGAGAGTGGAAGGGACTTGACAGGCGTGCCGAATTTGGACGCAACGTCTGAGACGACTACCGCCGACGATCTCGGTGAAAACTTTGATACTCTTACTGGGTTCAGGGATTTTCCGCCGTTAACTGTTGGACTGACAGAGTTCTTGGCGATCTCGTTGGTTAAATAACTTTGCAGAAAGCTGTTGTTCTTAGTGACTATGGGTTTTTCAACGTCCATCACCGCGGTATCCGGTTCTTCACGGATTGTCTTGAACCTCGATAAACCGTCCATGTTATTTTGTTGATACTTGTTGGTTGTGATTACGTGATTATTGTTGTTGTTGTTACTCAGCGTCGATGACGCCACCGGTTTTCCGTAACTAAGTCCTGGATGAGGGTTATACGGCACCGTACCGTTGTTTTGGCTGAATTTATTCCGAAGATTTTGCACGCTCATCGTGTGTAAGTAAACACACGGAGGAATTATGTGGTCGGACTGCAAGTGAACTGACCTCAACGTGGAAAATCTATAAAAAAAAAGTATACATTTTAATCAAATTAATAAAACTGAATTATTTTACTATAACTAGGGGCTATATTTCGTTTCGTTTTCTAAATACAATTTGCTTCTGTAAATGTTCAAATAAATTAAATTATAAAGTTTGTCTAAGAAGCTTTACTTAAGCTCCTAATTTTTAGTCTAAGCGTAAATTTAATAGTAGATGTTTAAAATTTATCTAGAGGAGAAAAAAGTACAAAAAAACTTTTAAAAGTTGTCCAAATAAATTTCCAAGAAATTAAAAATAATTTTTTATGAGTCACTAAATAGACTGCTACAGTCATGCCGTTAAGCTTATAAGAGTCCCTCCCCTCCAAAAATATTTCTCACATTAAATAGGTTTTCGTATTATATTTCAAATAAAAATCGTTTACATAATACACCTACACGGAAATTCGTTTCATAATAATAATAAGAACATGTATACCAGACAATTTAAATGTTTTTAGCACGTTAATATTTTTAATACATTATTTAAAAATGTAAATATATTTAACCTAAGTACGTGTACAAACATGATGGCCACGTTCTCTTTAGAAAAAAAAAAAATGGTCATTATTTTACGGTCGGCTGACACTTTTGCGCACTTATATATTGTCGGAGGGTGTAGTTGAACGTTGTAAAATAGTAAGAATAAACGCATAATGACGTGTATCGTGTAATATTTTGATACGAATTCCGTTTCGATTAATAAACATAGAATTGTATTTTGAAAACTACTAGTTACTATTACTATAACTATACTAAGTAGGTACCCGGCAAAAAAAAATGTTGTAGGTAGTTTTTGACTTGTAATAATTTTAATTGCGTCGATTATTCTTTAATATTATACCGTAAATTACATTGGAAACAATTTCGTGTAATCATTTTGATTTTTGTATTACTAATCCAAATATATTTTACGTTGCCGCATAAATAGGCGTGTCGGCGAAATAATTCCCCAAAACTCGCTAACATACAGTATAATAATCATATACGACGTCGTATTCCGGCCGTTTTTAAAATTTTTTTTTTTTGCCGTGATATTTTGCGTGTTTTACCTATAGCAAGGTAGTGCAGTAACCAGGAACACGGAAAAAACATCCTGGAAAACCGACTGAAAAACAAAAACGAAAAAAGAGGCCAAACTAAAACAATTAATTGAATACGCGCCCAGCTCCCTCTTCCAACTTTGAAATCATTTTCAACTGCGGTAGATAATAAATAAAACCATATTATAAGTATTTTTCATATATATATATAAACTAGCTGTGTTACCCGGCTTCGCCCGTGGACACACGTTTTGTAACGTACAATATTTTTAATATTATTTTATATTTCATTCGAGTTTTTTCTTCCAATCTTCCGTGTTACCAACCTTTAAATTTGTTTTCATTTTATCCGTGTAACAATGATAATTCATAACAATAAATTTCATCCGTGTTACCAGGGTCGGCGTTACGATTTCCGAGGCCCTGGATTTTTGAGAGACTCTTTTTTTCCAACGTACCACTCCTTTCACCTAATAATTGTAATAATACCCTACACTTGGCCACAGCCCTACTTGTCCTATCCTAACGCCGACCCAGCGTGTTACTATGGCAATCCATACAAATTCATAAATTATACATCTATATACTTTTATGTGCGTATTTGGCGATTATTTTTTTAAAATTAATAACTCGATTGATAATACGTATTGGCGATCAATTGTTATTATTAGTTAATCACTTAAACGCAAATTTTTTTAAAATACTTTCTTATCGCATATTTTGAGTATTAAAGGAACCGCTATTCAAAATTTCAAGTTCGGTTAGGTTGTGCAGTTTTTAAGATATAGCGATCAGAGAGTGAGTGGTATTTGGCTTTTATGAATAGTTTATATAACTGTTATTTAGCCGACTCTATGAATGAAACCGAATATTGGTGGCCATATTATAGCGAGAATGCAGATGTTATTGTGATTAACTCATGAAATATTGCTTAAACCACGAATTATGTGATAATATGACAAATATTTTAAATGAATCATAAAAAAAATTGTTTTCATACCCGTCATCACATAATACAGTTATTTCAATTAACTTCAATTAGCCTTTTTAGTACCAATATTATACTGTGGCGGCCGAAATACGACATACATAGGACCATAGGCACAACTAGGGGATACTAGTGGTATTTCCATACGTTGATCACCCTGTATAATGATTTACTTTTGGCTTCATAAAGCGACCACATACATCCATTATCATTTATAAGGTAGGTTGATTAACATAAAATTTATATAAACCTACCTATAGTAGATAAGGATTTAGGTATACAGCCATATAGGTACTGAATTTAATGCGTTTCGGTCTCCGCGGTCACGTATTATTATTATGATATCATTACTATTATTATAGGTATTATAAGTGTGTTGAAGATTCAGAAAAAAAAAAAAATATTTATAATTTTGTAAATTTACACAATAGAACGAAATGAGATGCCGTATACTGAAGACCTAAAAATACGAGAGGAGATATTGCGAGCTATTGTTTTTTTTTTTTTTTTACAAAAACCGATTATTATTATTATTATTCTCGTGTGTGAGTGTGTGCTTTATATTATACAATACATCTCCAATTGTCCGAGACCAACATACTCTACGACGACGGTGCCAGATAAGTAATATACGTATTTATATATCTATATATGTTTTAAAATATAAAGAAACGTATTTTTTTTTTTATTTTTTTTTTTTTTTACCGTCGCCATCCCACTCGTAACAATAACCTTCGTGATTATCCGGCGACGACCCCTGTGCAACAGGTTCTCGATTTGTATCGGGTGATGCGCTCGTACTAGCTTATTATATTATAAAATAACGTATCGTGTGCATGTGTGTATACATGTGTGCATGTTATATACAATTGTTTTATGACGTTCGCTGCAAAAACCAATAATAATCGGCCTCGGAGACACTATTATGATAATCGTAATACTCGTCGGGTGTAGTCGTAGTACCTACTATATTACGAATTTCGATCGATAAAAATAAAATCCAGCAATATCTCGAGAGAAAAAAAATCAATTACTTACATAGTGTACAGGTACATCGTCCGAGAGGAATTTCCGAGTTTATATAGATAGGTATATTCTACAGTTAATTTTGTGGCTGCGAGGACGAGGGGGAAATAAAAAACGTACCTAAGCGTTCGATTCGACACCGACGCTGTGTATACAACACCTGCGATTATAATATATTATTATTACAATATTATAACGAGAATACGTTGGGAGGGGGAGGGATTAAAAAAAAAAATTGTTTGCTGACCGAATGCCAATTTTGTTGTTGTTATAGCTGTCTTATAACCCCACCCCTCGTTTTAAAATTACAAAATGCGTTTACGTATTGCATTTTAATTATACTGCAATAGCATAAAGACCCACGCGGACGTCTACGTCTGTTGCTTTAGTATAATATAATATAGATTTACCAATAATACCTACCTATATGGTATTAATTAGGTATTCGTAATTTACCTTGAAATTGTCACCGGCAGTATACAGGGTAATCAACAAAACGCAAGACACTCATTATTTCGGAAAGTATTAGATTTGTTCGGAATTCGTGATTTCATTAAACAGTTTAAGAAACAATAGCAGTTCTAAAATGTTACGTTGACGTTATTTTTGTCACCCTTGTTTTTGAGGGTGAAATCACTACCCTCTTTTGAATTTTAAATAACAACCTATATTGAAAATGTCATAAATAGATGGAGTTAAGTTTAAATTAATTTTGGTGTTGAAATCGCTAGTTCGTGGCGTGAGGCGTTAAAATAAAAAACATAAACTTAAATTTCATCTATATTTATAGAATTTTCAATACAGGCTACTATTTGAATATTAAAAGTGGGTAATAGTTTCACCCTCGAAAATAAAGGCAAAAAACTGGCAATGAAATATTTTAGTAACACTTGTTTCTTAAATTGTTTTAAAAAAAAAAAAAAAAAACAAACACATTTCTAAAACAGTTAATACTTTCAGAGATAATTAGTATTTTATATTATCTATATGACTCTGTATATTATATAACGTACGTTACACTGGCCTTCATCCCTTTTCTATAATATGACACCCAATTTATTTATAATATGACAACGAAAAAACACAAAATTTGTTGATTTTTAAAACCGGAGGCTGGAAAAACGTGTCTACCGCCTCCCCAGTTTTTTAATTATAGCGGTCGTAGGATGGCCAAAAAAATTCTGAAAAATATCAAACAAATTCATTGTGATATTTAAAAACCCAAAATCCGAAAGGGGGGAGGCAGTGTAACGTACATCATTATATAAAAGAAAAAAAAACCAAACCGAGTGGCAAGACCACTACACATAATATAGTATCTCAAAATAACATAAAAAATATAATTGTGTAAAAGTCTAATTGATTTTTATTATTACGATTAATTGACTGTACACTTCTTTTCCTGAACTTAAAAAATTTATTAAAAATCACAAGTTTATCGAAAATGAAAAGGTTGATTCAATAATTTTGTTATGTAATTTTATCCACTATATAGATATTATACATTCAGAATCTAAAATTCAAAATTCAAATTTTCATCGACAAAGACCAGTTGATTTTGTTTTAATATTTAAATGTACGTATAATTGTATTAATATTTTAAATGCGAATCCATGGGAGAGCTGTAATAGATTGTCGCGAGGATGCTCACAACGAACAGTAGTTACGTACCATAGAAACTGCGGGTGTTGCTTCGTTTATTGTTGGATTGTTCTATAGTAACTAGAACGAAACTCCATTAAAAAAAAAAAAATGGGACTAAAATGTCTAAACGGTGATATTAATATATGTAATAACATACACGTTTTTAAAGATTCGTCGATTCAATACTGATACTGATACGGCTATAAAGCCGTGCGAGACAACTATTAAATTATGATAACAATCATTATTATAATATGCTGTTATTATTTTCATCTACAGCGATTTTGTCTATACATAATAAATTTATGATTGGATTAAATAATAAACAACATTTTAAAACCGAAGCATATATATAATATACTGCAATAGAAACTGAGCCGTACGTCTCGTACAACAAACGAAAACGTGCACTTATTGTGGTTTAATAATAATAATAATAATAATAATAAAAAAAAAGGATAATAATAAACATATAATATGCAAATCGACCGGAAAGACGCGCAACGGCGAAGTACCACACAGCATCCCGGCGGGTTTGGGCACACCATATGTTTCACCTCGCACGGGCGTATAGAATTGTATTCGTTAAAGAACCGAATCCTGGTGTGGGCGACATGGACATTATTATTACGTGAAGAAAAATATAAATATCGGAGGATAAAATAAAAAAAAAAACTGGTTAAAAAACGTGTATTGTGTGCTCAAGCGAATATTCGACAAAAACCGCACATTGTAGCGACACGGTCATTATGGAGTGAGCGGGAACATAATATTATTACGAACATGCGGTATAAACGATGATAGTTGTGTTCCGAAAGGGTAAAATAACTGTAAAATGTCGAATAACGAAAAAAATAAAAATTAAGCCCGAATAGGAAATAGTTGCACAATCATGGGTATGCCATCACTATTGCAGTACTTCGGCAAATCATCTTGACAGAAAACTTATACTGACGTTTTTCAGATGTGATAAAATTTTAACATCATTTAAGTCATTTTTAGGCTACGAGTATTTTTAGACGTTCTAATTTTGCGAGTTTTTTTACGTAATTAGTAATTCGGAGCAAGATTTCATAGAAATCTCAGAAAATCATAGAAGAGCTGTTTACTGATAAAAAAAAAAAATACACACATCACAGTAAAACTAATTAGATCCCTCGCTTCAATCGAAATCTAAAATAATACAAAAATATACGGGAAATTACATAAATAGACGGAGTAATATTTTGGTCTTTAAATATTGATTTCACAGTGTTTTGTTTATTTTTGATGTAATTCTTTTCAAACAAAGGTAATTAAATACTGCCAGTCGAAAATGTATATCATTATGCTCATATTTGAATTCAATTTCGATTTGATTTGATTTTCTTGTCTGCACAATCTAAAATGTTCATTGTTTTTGTTGAAAAAAGGTTGCAACTTTTTCTCTTACAAAAAGATCTGAAGAATTTTCCGTTTATAATTTTAATTTTTAGTTTTCAAAAATAAATCTACAGCCCACCTGTCGCAAATTAATACATAACTTCTTTCGTATCACTTAGTTATTTTTTTTTTGCCAAGTCACTGAATCAATACGTTTTATAAATGATGTATAGGTTTGGTGACGCGTGTCCGTCACGTGAAAAAAAAAATAAATGGAAAACGTATCGCGTAAGTATTAATCTGCTTTGACGTTAAACCGAGAATGTCTAGTGTTGATTGAATTTTAATGGCACACATCGATTTAAAGCCATTGAACACGCAGTTATTAATAGTGTTGTCGTTGTCGATTTCACGAAGTGTTCAAGCAATCGCACTATACACTGACCGTCGTTTAATAAGGTTAACACGGTGTAAATAATTAAGAAAGAACCATAACCGTGTATAATATTTTATAGCAATTATTATTGCCGTGGTCGTCGGCTTCGTACACGCAGTGCTCGATTTATTGTACAAGGGGAGGGGGAGGAGGTCCCGTTTAATTCGTCTTCGTAAATTTTATCGAACCCTTTAAACCCAGAAATTCTCTTCTCTTCTTTATTGTTCACCACTTGCTAGCTCTTCAAGAGTCTTTGCTGTCAACACAACTCCCTTCCGTTATCCATCTCTACCTCTAAAAATATTCATGTGATGATTCATTTATTGTGAACCAGCGATTTTCTTGGAAGATTTCTGATGTTTTCCATTATTATGAAGTCGCTTAAACTTTAAAAATTATATTCAGTTTGTTTGGCTCCTCTGCTTATATATAAAAAAAAATAAAAACTTATTTATTTAAAATTACCAAACACACCCATTTTGAACACAAATTCGAACGAATTTTAGATTCGGAACGAGGAAACTATTGGTTACTACTATGTGTATTTTATATATTTTTTTTATGTTTGTAAACAACATTTTCAAAAGAAATCTTGCTCCAATCACTAAACCGTTAAATTAAATAGAAATGCTTGAAAATCTAACAGAAGCCTCATCATAAGTAAATTGTACATGGCAGTCAAAAAAAAAAAAAAAATTTAGTGTAATTTAGTATTTTTTTTTTTTTTTTTTTTAAGAGTTTAAAATAAAATGTTGACGAAAATCGTAAATATTACGCTCTTTTAAAATAACTCAATCGAACTTCGCTTCGAATTGTTTTTCGTGAGCAATAATTTATCGTTATTCACAAGTATAAATTAAATATTTGTATGAATCCTACCTTCCAAACTTCCCACCTACAACAATGGCGCAGCCATCCTCAATATCAAATATTTTTTTTTATGATTAAGAGTGCAAACAAATGTATAAAGTTTTATTTAATTACGTCTAAACTACAGATTTCGGGTCTACTCTTTGGGCTTTTACCAGTTTCTACCATTTGATAAAATTCGGTACATACTCTAAGTTTGTTATTTCGCGTAGCTCTTTATTGTATTAAGCAATGGAACACTATACTTTTTCGGAAAAACTGTTGAGAGTCTAGTAAATATTCCGAAAAAAAACCAGTAGAAAATTCGCATATTTTAAGATATACGACGCGAAAGTTTTACAAGACGAGAAGAATCTAAAAGAATGCCTGTTTATACGTAGGTAGAAAATATAATAAGTATAGTGAGTATAGTGTAATTTTTTTCGCACATTGTTTTGTATGATATTACCAGAGAATAATAATAATTACGCGTCTTTATAATAACTTTATATAAAAACCATTGTGATAATAATATAAGTATATTTTTTATTTTTTTTTACATAATACCATTATTATAATAATGATATTATGCGCGACATTCGTGTTGAGTTCACCTGCACCGACACGTCGTCGTCCTCGCGTAAACAGTTATTAACCTATTCAAAATTCGAGATCTCAATATTATAAAATACTACTGGCTACCCCGTCAGTGGTAACAGTACAAACATCAATGTACATAAATAAATTATTAATTTAAAATAAATAATAAATTATTTACTGACTATTCAGTACCTTTAAAAGTTGAAATTTTTAAAAATGTGTATGGTAGCATCTTGATTGATAAGATACAAAGTAAATTAGGTAATCGCTTCAGAATACATTACGTTTTTATTGTATTTTCAGGTTGTGTATTCAGTTGGGAGTTCGACCTAGCTATTGAATATTGTCACCACCACTTGCAGATCTTGAAAGAGCCACATATGGTTGACCATGTGAAAATTACGTATTTTCCTCAAATCTACATCTACATGTTCGAATTTTCGTCTTTAGGATTTATATTATAATGACCGTACAAGAGACCTGTCATTGTCAAAATAATTTTAGGAAGGGATCACATGTCTAGTGCCTACGTATTAAATAGAACACTTTTTAATAATTTTATTTTACTTAACACGGATGGGGAAAAGTGTCCAGACAATAAAACCGCTCATGCTCCTCCTGCTGGTTGCGCCACATATTTTATTGCATATGTTATGCTTACACAGCACCGTATTCATTAAGTTATTACGTATCTTATCTTATGTTGTTGTATTGTAGCAACTGCATGAGTATATTGTTAAATTATTCAACCCATTTTGGTAAAAAGTATTTCTCCTATACCTATAGCATTTCGGTGGCAGCAAAACAAAGGCTCGTCGTCGAATTCGGTCGCGAAAAATCGGGTTATCGTCCAGTGACGAAACAATCGCTATTTTTGAAAAGCTATTTTTTATTATTTGTACTACACCCTTTATCCGATCGCTATGAAACTTAAGAAACGTGTTTCACGTTGTCTGCATACAGTTTATAATAATTGAAATCCACCCCGTATTAAATATCACTTTTTATAAAATTCAGTTTTTAGAAATGTTTTATAGAAAAATCGAATTATTTTTGTTGATTTATAAGTTACTTTGGTAACACGAATGAAAAAAAATAAAACTTTTTTATTAATTTCTGTAGTGCCATCTCTGTGCTGTGCGTGTATTTATGGTAATAGTATATTATAACGATAATTTATCTATTAAATTTATTTAGAACTTTTTTATTGCACGGGCAAAGCTGGGCGGGACATCTTGTTTTTAATAAACATAATTGATTACGATAACAACGAAACGAATTAATACAGACAAACGTATTAAATAAACATAACTTTATAAACTTGCTAACAATATGAATACAACAAATTATACTTGATAGCTGTTGGTTTGTGCAGCCATAATAAAATCAATATACAAACTTGTATAGACACAGCATAAAACGTATAAAACCGAGTACTTAGTCATTGTACATTGTACGTTCTATACGCTACTGTGTCATACGGTCCGACCCAGATGAGAACAAATGAAAATACTGGAATACGTCGGGAACATTGGGCGCGTCGGGAAATATTAGCGGATGAGTCGAACGGTCGAACGGCGGACAATAAAAGTTACTTCTGGGTTAGTTTAGGCTCGACGCACGGGTAGAGTTTTCGAGAGGAAAACGATCAGTTTATCGACGACACATCGTCGTCCGTATATTGCAATCATTACAATCGTATACGGTAGTATATTCGAGAATATTATTTACTCCGGCGCGCATATTATAAAATTTACCTAATCGAAGCGACACGTTTAAAAAAAAACGTCGTCGCAGAAGGTTAATCGCGTGCACGCTGTTTGTTTACGGTAGAGGAAACCGTCGTCGCACCCGGACGAGTATAATATTATTGTGCCTACCGCAACTTACACTGCGCAGAGACTGCCGTTCATGACCGCGTTAATCGATTTCGTTACGTTTCGTTGAAAACGCGTACCTCCTAGTCGTGTTCGTGCCCAGGTTAGGTATTATTGTACACCGTAAATGTATACCTATCAAAAGCGGATCGTGTTCGACCGTGCCCGTTTCTATTAATAATAGACGACCCGAGAAAATCGTTTAAACATGATGGTGGAGCGAGTGTTTTTTTCGCGATATTATCCGCTCGCATAATATAATTGTTGTGCGGGCGGTGTACGTAGAGCAGGGGGCGGGATCCCACGGACCGTGTAATTTGATGAGCATTGCGCAGTATCGGTTTCCGCCAGATATCGGCTATAGGTAATAGATTTTCACTGTAGGTATGCATATGGATATCCGTTCCTATCCACCAGAATTGTAAACACTGATATTGTGTACTCGCGTATTCGCGCGCTTATAGGCAGGGCTGTGAAATTTAGTACACACGACACTTGAAAACGTTTAGCTTCAGAAGTACTTAAAATCATCCCGGAAAAAAGACGTCTCGCAAAGAGCACTCGAAATCTCTACAATAAACCATTTCGAAATACACTAGAAATCTTTCCTCCACGAAAAAATACACTAATCGAAACACTGAAATACAATATTTTTGAAAATCTAGGTGATAAACTAACGCGTTATATTTAGATGTTTTCATAATCAAAAAGAAAAAATATTATTAAATATAAATAATGTTTTTGAACGTAGATTTAAAAAAAAATAATAATAATAAATACCGTAAAAAGTATTAGAAAAGGAAAAAGTACTTAAAAGGTAAAAAAGGGACAAAAAAAAATTTAATACTCGTATGCTAAAAACGTCAAAATAAGAGTATCAAAACTGAGTTCATTATTATTATTATTATTATTATTATTCACCTGAGTATTATTATTTTTGTTTTTTTTTAAATGTTTGTTTAAACTTTGTATACAACGACGTGTTTACTAGTACCCGACTTACAGTAATACACTTTTTTAAACTTTGTTTTATTTTGTAAATAAAAACAATTAGTGTATAATTAAAATAGCATACGTTTGCATATGTTTTAAAATTGTATAGTATAATAATAATATTAACACAGTGTGATCATAGAATTCAAGCACTGATTAGTGATATTTTATATTTAAACGGCAACCAGGGAGGGGGGCAGCCACTCTCCACACCAATAGCCAATATTGGTACACCGGTACTGCATTAAACTTAGTTTTAGTAGTGATTTTCTACATGTTTTGCCAAAGTAACTCAGAAATCAACGAAATAGCGGTGTATCGTTATCTGTTTAGAATCTATGGACAAATTTTCAAATAAATTGCTACCGGGTGAAATTGCACATTTTTCAATGTACAGTGTGAACGATTTGGGGCATTTTTCCTGACTAAAAGCAAATAGCTATTTCACTATACGCTCTAAAAAAATAAATAAAAAAAAACAAATTAGCTTTTTCTTTTTAACAAGTCATTAAACTAAAATCATCTACGATCGAGGAAGAAAAAGCCAAAGGTAATCCAAAAATACCTCGCATTGAACAGCTAAAAATGAATGTGTACATTGTTTAAATGAAACGAACGCTCGGAATGCTTTCGACTCAAGAGTCGAATAATTCAACGACGATTTTTATTTTTATTTTTTCTAGTCTTTATTGTTATTTTAAATTTAAAACCATTACTATAATTTGTTTTTGCGGACTGCAGATAGGCCGGCCTTGACGTAACATTGCAATATAACGTATCGCGAGCGTATCTATGTATATATTATGTCTTCTGTCGCTTTAAATGGTTAAAAAAACTAACCGCTTTACCCACGACACTATTATACCATACACTCTCGTTGTTTCGATTATTATTACAATTTTACTGCACATCAAATTAGCCGTGTAACAAAAGTGCACTGCGTACAAGCTGTTTAGACAGGAAAAAACAATAATCGATTGTAATTGAATCATTTTATCAATAAAACAAATCCGATAAAAAAATAACTAAAAACATTTTTTTACCACAACAATACCGTTTACAAAAATTTGATACTACTCACGAGTTATAACTATAGTCAGTGTTGCAGGTAGATAGTTGCCAGTGTTTGAAATTAATATTAGTAGTATAGTATTCAAATGCTTTTTAAGTACTCAAATGAGTATTTTAATAATTTTAAAAAGAAGTACTTGTACAAAGTATTTTAAATACTTTCTCAGTATATCTGTACTTAAAATCAAATATTAATTCAAATACTTTCTTTGTTTAATTAATATATTTTAGATTCAAAGGATATTTTTTCAATTCAATCACTTTAAATATTTAAAAAAAAATTGGATGTGTGATTTACTCAAGTCAGAAAATATAATCTTTTTTTTTAGTGATTTTCTGATTACTGTATATCTCCTGGCAGTTTCCAATAGGTTGCATGACATTTATAAGAAAGGTCAATATTTTTCAGGAGACATAATGTACGACAAGGAACTATAGTAAGAGCATAGGTTGTATTTACACTTATGGAGAAAAACATTTCAAATGCCCTTTTCACGATCGAGATAGTATGATTCAAATGAACTGGCAATTCAAATAACTGGTTAAAAGGAACAGATGAGTTGCTTAAAAAAAAAATTGCGTTTATCTTTTACCTACACCAGATGATGTAACGCGATGGTTAAAATTAATGTTATTCATGAAAATGCTAAAAAAAAAAACAAGTTGATTTAAAAGATAAGAGAAATGTTATTAAACAAATTTGAAAGTATCTATGTTTGTACTCGGATATTATTTTTATTTAATATTCAAATATGTAGTTATTTTAAATATTTTTATTAAACTGGCAGTAAATAAAGGAGGTATACGAACAAGGCAATATAATTTGATGCTAAATAGTTGCAAATGAAAATAAGTTGTATTAGACCTGTTTTTTCCCTTGTTACAAAGATAATATTTTACGAGTAGATAAACTAATTATTCTACACTAAAATTTTAATTATAATAATAATAGGTATATAAATATTATTATAATGCACTAAACATCAATAAAATGTTCTGAAAATGGAAAAATGTTCGCATTGTAAGTAACGTACGAGTCAAATATATGTTAAATAATATATGTCATATAATTGAATATTATTTTAGTTATTACTTATTAGTAGGTTTCGAATTCGAAGGGAATATAAAAAAATAAAAAAGTATTTAAAATGTGAAAAAGGCAAAACAAACCATTTAATTTATATAAAAAGCAATTACAAAATTAATTAAACAATTAAGTTGATTTAAATTAATTTAACTAGTTTGTATTAAAAAAAAAAAAAAAAAATCACTACCATGTACTTAAATAAATTGTCTTCAGTAAAACGTTGACAGTATGGGCTCAAACTATTTATGTCCGAAAAAAAATATCGTTCTACGTCCACCGAAGTTATTGGGGCGTATTTCATACATAAATAATAATCTAAATTAAGATTATCACTTATTAAATCGTTATCGTCATCACCATCAAAAGTGCATTTATAAGTAAAAAAGGGAAAAAAAATAGTTGATACTGGAGACGGGTGCGATCACTGTTTTAGGTGGGTAGTGGGGAAGGTGAGATAGCTACATAAAGTTATTTAATTTATACCTGTAACCAACGATAACGAAAAACCATTGATAACAAAGAACGATTCCGAGTGAAATTCGGTTATATATATGTTTTGAAAGGCAGAAATATTTACGATTTTCGTCAAAATTTGATATTAAAATTTCTTTATAAAAAAAAAATACTACATAAAACTCAAATTTTTATTTTTGACCACAAACTGCGACATGTATGGAACCTCTTGTTAAATTTTCAAGCATTTATATTTAGTCTAATAATTTTATTCACAGAGTACTTGCCAAATAAAATTCATGTACAAAATATCATTAAAAAAAAACCACAATGAAAATCCAAAAAACGATTACCTTGTTCACTAACCAGATTACGAATTCAACAAAAAAGATCATCTGATAGTTTTTTATTGAGCAATATTTATGATTGAAAACACAAGCCGTAAAAATGTAAAATAATGAACTCGTAACGCCATTAATTTGACAGTTTTAATAATAAAAATTTAAAAAAAAAAACTTGGACACAAAAAAGGTCACTTGTTATTTATCTATTGAAGTAATATGAATGATAGAAAACACCGTGTTAATTTAATAAAAACGATGAAAACGGTAACGCCTTTTTCTCAATTATTTCAAAAACCCCTCGGAAAATCGAAAAATGATCTCCTCGGTGCATCAATGAGGGAAAAGTATCTTTCAAAAAAGGTGTTGCAGTCTATATTTCGGACGAAGTTTTCGGTAGAAAAGTTGTTCACAGATAGAAAAACAATATCATTTAATTTAATATAATAATCGGATTTTAACGATTTCACAGTATTTTGCAGAAAAATTTAGCCAACAGGATAGGGCAGCTGTCTACCCTATCCCCATTCCTGTGTGCACGCACATCAACAGAATGCTAAAAAACTAATGCAAAAAGAAAAAAGAAAGGTGGTCAATTTTTCGGAACCACTTTCGTCGAAAAAGAAATTTTAAAAAATTTGCATATTATGTGTGTGTGTGTGTGTGTATGTGCGTGTAATTTGCGCTTAATAAAATAAATATATTCGAACGGGCAAACGGTTACTAATATTATGCTAAGAGTTGAATACCAATTACGGTCAATAGAAGGACGCCACCGCCAATATCGCAGGCTCGGACAAAAGAAAAACTTTTCCAGAAACCGTATTGCGAATTAGGTCATGGGCCGCTGTTCGCCAATGTTGGATTACATTGTACTTGACCATCATTTTTTATTCAGTTTCGCGATCGCATAAATATGAATAAATACGATACGCTCGCACGGGTACCTGGGTCGTTTGAACGTTTATAGCCGATACATCATGGGTATGGGCTTTGTATGAATTTCGTTTGCATAAAATAGAATAATACAGCGAGTATTATCACGCTATTGAAATAATCGTGATAACGTTTCCTATAAAATATTATGATAACCGTCGCTAATATTACCACCACTGAACTTAAATGCATTTGTATTTATTATACGATATAATAATAGTATACTATACGTTATCGTCGCAATCGTTGTCTCATAATATTACATATCCACGTTATCTATCTTACAAAATCGTAAACACAATATGATATTATTGTCGATAAATTATATATGTATACCTATTATGCTGTCTTGCTAAGAAAAGATTCTATAACAATTTGCTATTAGGTATGACGATTATAATAATGACATAGTTTCTGCACAACCTGTCTGTACCTACCTACGTAATAATTATACCGCAATTAGGTATATTGGTCAATAATACGTTTTACATAAAATATATTTCCACGATCCTAATAAAATTGTTTAAAGCTGAGCGAAAAATATATATGTGACAATATATATGTTTATTGAATCATAATAAAATGACGAAATAAATCGTACACACGAAAATGAAATTCGAGCATAACACGTGCAGTCAACATTGATAATAATTCAAAATGTTTTTAAAAAGTCTGACACTGCTGACGGGTGTGTCACTGTTTTTCTAGTTAAGGGGAAGTTTCCATGTATACTAAAATATAGCCATATAAAATAATTTAATTTAAATCTGCGTATATCTGTACGCAAAGACAAACCATTGCTAACGAAAGACGATTTTGAGTAAAGTACTATTAGTCGTATTTTTAACTTGTAACAGAAGTAATACAAATGTCACCAAAATTATACAAAACAAATTGCTAGCATTTCCTATTTTTTAAGAAATCTATAAGGAAAATCAACAAATGACTTCCTCAATGCACCAACTAGATAAAAGATGACACAAGAAAGTTCTTATAAAGTTTTTGATAGGAGCGAAATTTCTGATGGTCAAAATTGTTCACAAATACACACAAAAAAAAAAATAAGGATATACTTCGTACAGTGGGTGGGCCATTGTTTTTGGTGGGGAGTTGGGAAGATAGAATATAGAAGAGAATTTAGTGTACATCTATACGCAACGATTAACCATTGATAACTAAAAACGATTCTGAATGGAATTCGGTTAAACTTATTTTGAAAGGTCATAATATTTAGGATTTTCGTCAAAAATTGTATATTCAAATTCTTATGAGAAAAACAATTCTACGTTACATTCAATGTTTAACCACAAGTACGATTTATAATGAACTTCTTCTTAAATGTTCAATCATTTCGGTTTGATTTACCAATTGTATCCACAGAATACCGACCGAATAAAAATAACGTAAAATACTAGAAAAATGAAAATTTCTATAAATAGCTCGAAAATGGCTAAAATGTTTTGAAAATTATACCTAGGTATGGAAAATGCAAATACAAATGTTCTGTTAAAATATAAAATAATAAATTTCGTAAATATTCCGGTTTTTCCTTGGTTTTGTCGTAAATAATACATATATATATATGTGTATAAATATGAGTAAATATGAGAGAATAGCCATTAAACATTACCTGTAATATTTTTGGAGGCCTTCCAACTATGGTAAAACGTATATAGTTATAATATTGTATGCGTGTCCCCATACGAATTCAGAAGGTCGAATATCCAGATGGTCGGTATGAAAAAAATCTAAAAAAAAAAAAAAAATTGAATTTTGTACTAATCACGTATTTAAACGGTTTTCATTGTTTAATTATATAAATAATAATAATAATAATAATAATAATAATTGTAAAAATTAGTTTCGGTACATAATATTTAGGTACACAAATATAAATAATAAAACCAATCGAATGAAAATACGCAAAGAAAATGTTGTTTCACATAGATTGTTTGCGTCAACGCGTCCAGAAAATAGTGCAATCGATATTATGTCGAAATACGCCACGGATAGTTTCGATACTAGATCCCTGGATGATGTTCGATTGAAAAACCGAAAATTTCATTTTAATTGTTGACGGTTTTTTTTTTTTTTTTCGGAAACAATAATCCGCGTGTTCCTCATTAGACTTGATGATCAATCGGATTAAAATTCAATTTCCTTCGATAATTTTAAACATCTAATGGCCCAGGAAAAAATGGAATCGATAAGGATTATTATCAATAATCAATCCGGCGCGTTCCTTCGGATTGAAAACTAGACAAGGAAAAGCATTTACTGCGGAAGCGTTCGTTTTCTCGTTAGATTTGCCAACATTATTTAACGTGAAAAATGGGCGCAACCACTCCCCCAACCGAAAAAAAAAAATGTTGAATTCATCAAATTAAATAAACTCGAAATTCCATTTGTTCTGCTGTAGCTTCAATTACAGTATCGGTAATAATTTGATTTTATTCAGGAAAAATTGTACCATTTCCGTCAAACACATTAAATTGTCGTATGACACTATATGGTATGATAAGCGGCATGAAATCCGATCGGAGTTATGAAAAAAAAAAGAAGCGTTTCCGAGTGAACGGTACAGTCGATTTGTAATAATACACGCACACGCGTGCACACACACACACACACACACGCACACACGCACACACACACACACACACACACACACACACACACACACACACACACCGGATAAGAGCAAAGACCCTATTAAACTTCGCGGGTACACCATAATAAACGAGACGCAATTAGTTTTTCGTGTGAGCGGAATGTTATTTGAAGGGTGCCTGATTGTAGCCGAGGTTACTTAGTTATTATTTTATGTGTATTAATTTTTTAACCACAGAGTCTATTCAAATATTTCGACAATATAGGCTAAAGGATTCCCGATAAATTTACAGATATACTGTGACTTTTGACGAAGATGCAAATTGGACGATGAGCTGTGCCTGACTTGGTTCTACGAAAAATTGTAATTTGTTGACAATTTTTTTTTTGCTAAAATATCTGTTATATAGTATCTTTTCTTGACAATTGGAATAGGAAAATCTTATTCGATTATATAATAAAATAGTATCTTGTTATTTTCACGATTCCATAATATAGTAACCAATAGTGGATCCAGGGGAGCCCAGGGGTCTCAGCTCAACACCACAAGGGCACAGAGAACAGGATAATATAATAGAAACAGAACATTAAGTATATATATATATATACATATACTTATAGTATACAAATAATAGTATGGATATTATAATAAGAGAAAATGTACAATACAAGATTGCTTAAATACATTGTTAATAAAATAAGATAAAGTACCTCTCTGTTCTCTGAACTTTAAAAAAAAAATGATTAAAAAAGCTGTCCTAGGATAATGAGGACTGATGCAGCCACTACTATAGATAATAATTTATAGCTGTAAAAAACGATAAACCGTTGCTTACGAAAAAACGATTCTGAAATGAACGGAGTTCAGTTGATAGTGATGGTTTGTTAACAGTATACATGTTATTTTATAGTAAAATAATTAAATAGGCTTAATATATTTTCTTAAATAATATTTGTTTAATTTTGTACAGATTTTCCCAGTTTTCCTACATATTTCCCGGTTTTCCCATGTTTTATCCTGGTTTTTTACGTTTGCTGGGAAAACTCTTGAAAAAATCGAAAAATGACCTCTCTAAAGTAGCTCCCTAGCGAAATATCCTTTTAAAAAAATTTCTATTATTATACATTGGAGCAGGTATTCTGGTATAAAAGTTACGCACAAATCAGAAGAAAAACTCTATGAAATCGCTATCTTCAATTTTTTTGAAAATATTAAAATAAAAAGTCATTTTTTTAGGTTTTTTTACTAAAACATACAAATTTAATTTAAATATAAATATTCGTAGACCTTATCACTGCGAGTAATACAAGAAAAAAATCAGAATTTGATAATCTTTACCATCTCAGGAGATATTTTAGGGCACTCTGTATACAGTAGTGGTTAACGAGAATCGAGTAAATCGGTTTATATGCGCTGACGCAGCTTGCGGACGACAAAATATTATTTCGTTTCCGTTCCAATCCGTTGTACGATCCCCTCTCTTCATGCGAGTTTCATGTGTAAAAGTATATTCGTCAACGTTCTATTTCGAGAACGAGGCGGCAGTTCCTTGTTTCCGCCTGTCGGGCCTATACTTCCGCTTTGTACTTTGCACTACTACACCACTACCACGGTAAACGAAATGAAGGTACGTAAATAATAATACGTTTGTTTTAACCGATACGTAATATAATCAAGAACGCAGTATCAAAACGTTAAAACTGAACTCAAACTCATGCAGCATTGACCAATGGCTTTACTAGACCACCGTGCTGCTAATGACAAAAATAAGAAACGTTTCTGAAACAGTTCACCGAAAATAAAATTGTAGTGTAGACAAATTTTTATTTTCCACCTACCACTTAAACAAGATTAAATCAAGATAAAACTTCTCAGATCTACAGACCAAAAGAAGTCTAATGGGAGACTCGCGGTCAGTGAAACGATACTTCAAAAGGTGTTCTTGGTATTCTAATACTAAGATAATAATAATATAAAGTAGAACATTACTGTCGAACTATTGTGATATATCTTTAATTTGATAACAGTTATCAAATTAAAGTGCAGATCAAGTATAAAATACTTAGGTAACAAATATAATTTACACCGACACAACGTAAAAATTAAAGATTTCACTACACCGTTATACTTATGAAATTTTTGTTATCTATTATATACTGCACTGGATGGCAGGTGATAGTTGGCAAAATAGTATGCTTGATTGCAATGTATCGAACGGGAAACTATATAAAACTAGTTTGATCTTAATTAGTATAGCAAATATTTTTTATTTTTTTTAGATTTTGAGTGGAATGAGAAATGTATTTGTTTTACAATGGTGTTTATTTTTATTTTTTTGCAAATACTTTTTCTACCAGAAAGCATACTCCGATTATCAAGCATAAAGGAAATGTTCTCTGGGTGGTGCTTTTTAGAGATCATTCTTTTGAAAATTTCATTAAAATTCGAGATAATGAGAAAAACCTGGTTCTTTAGGTTAAACAATAAAGTTGTCATGGGCAACCGTTTTTATTTAGTTTTTGTTATTATTATGTTTTTATTATTTTAGTATTTTTTAAACAATCATTGTTGTCATGGAAACGCACATTGTTGTAATTATTTAATAATAATATAACATATACCATATTATATTGTATTGTTGACAAAGCAACGCTATCAACTGAACTTCGCTCAGAATCATTATTTCGTTGGCAAATGGGTTATCGTTGCTTACAGATAAACATTAAATTACTTATATCAGTGGCTATACCCTACTCTATTATCCTAGGACGTCTTTTTTTTTTTTATGAAATTCTAGCCCGAATTTGTAATCGTGTGTCTCTCCCTGAGTAAAAGAAAATAATTATTCTGCAAAATGTTCCGTAAAAACAAAATTAATGCGAGTTGATAATCGCATTACCTAAAATATAACCCGATTTTATCGATTTATGAAAATAGGTTGACCGAGTTTGATAATGTCAGTCCAGTAGCAATGGCCAACGTATTTTATTATTGAGTCGGTTTTAGCCATTAGCATGACGTATTATTATTCACCTACGCGTATAATATAATATGGGTATAGCTTTTGAAAAAGGTCGATTTTCGCAGAGGTCGTCGACTCGTCGTTGTATTTTCAAACGTCTATATTATTATACCTATGGTGAGAGCCGTCTAAAAACAGACGTTATGGGGTGCCGTTTATCACGATTCCAACGGTCATTTACACCGTTCTAAGACTATACGCGCTAATATTCCGAAGACAATATTATGGCAGACCACACGCGAACGGTTTACTAAAATAATCGTACAACCAAAGCAGCAGATGTATTTATATACGAGGTTTGATCGTTATCGACACGCATAAATCGCAAGCGTTCTCCTCTCGTCGTATATGCAAATTACACTTTGCAGTGTACTTATAAAATACAAAACGTAATATATACGTTATATATGTACATGGCACGAGTATTTTTATTTATGGAATGCAAAAACGGTCGGAGCGACTTTTTTTTCGTACGTCCGTGAGACCGAATTCGTTCGTGTCCTGCCATAACGGCCGTGTTACCTACAAGAACACTAAAATGAAATTTCACAGACAAAATCAACAATCACGAAAGTGATCGAATAAGTAAGAATTTCGTAAGAAGAGATTTCCCGGTATCAGGTGGGGAGAAGGTCAGGAAGCACTGAAGATATTGCACAGGGATGATTTGTATTATTATTGTTATTTATCGGGTGCCTCAATACGCGATTTCGTGAGTCCAAAATCTACATATTACAACATCGTATCCTATATCCGTTATATGAACTAAATGACATAGTATTGTTTATTGTTTATTCGACGATAATGATTGTTGTTGCATTTTATTCCACTTCCCGGATGGCGAAAATTTAGTTCGTTCTAACCCACATGCATGTTTATTATGTCTTATTTATGATGACGTTTAAAATAACATTTAACTAGGTACTAGAAAAAAAAAAAAAATTAAAAAACAGTTAACATTATTATTAGCCGACAATTTTGAATTAATTTTTTTCAAACTGAAAAAAAAAAAAAAACATTTTTCGTGACCCAAGCAATGTACCTACATAATATTGTCTTATATTGTAGTTTAACGAACGGGCGTACAACAACACGGCACGACGTAAGTAAAAAACACAATAATTTAAAATTATTACAACGTGCTGCGGCAGCAGTCGAGAACAAAGTGGACGATACGATGGCAGGGCTGGGAAAGGGGACAAAACCTGCTTTAGCGCGTCACGTTGCTGTGCAGCGCAAAAACATGTGTTCACTGTATAATATATGCATTATGTTTAAAATAATATTTAATACATACAAATATCGGAGTATTGAAAATCGATAATACAATTATAATTGTATAACGCGCATGCCTATAGAGCTCTTGCTCACCGTCCAGATTTTATAATGTTATTATGCGAATAGAAATATTGAAATCGTTTTTTTTATATCAGGTAAACATATAATTATTATTTTGCGTTAAATTAATTGTACGACATGTTTTTAAACACAATTTATAAAACATATAATTAACTTAGAATTAAATGTCTCGTGAATTTGTGTTACCTAAGTTTAAATTTTATCTCGTATGTGGTTTTTTTTTTCTTTCTTTGAAATAATATTATCAATAAGTGTTCAAAAAAAATGTATATAATACGAGTATATAATTTTGGATAGGTACGTAATAATTAAGGCGAAAGTTCGTTTGAAATGCTGTAAAATATAATGGAAACCGCGCTTGTTTCTATACCCATAATACGAATCCCAAATTGACTAAGCTGCTGATACAAGGTGAAATTATTATAACAGTATAATTTAGTGACCCGATTAGGCGATATAATTATTATTTATACCTAAAATAATACCGTGCAGTAGTCGAGTCATCGATTAATTTGCGTAGTTTAACCGTCGACGTCGGAAAAATATTGCATGACGAAACATTAGGTATTCACTGGCTATTGAAAAGTCGAGTGTTTCATTTACGCATGCACATATGATGTTATTATTTAACGGAGACGGGGGAACGGAAGCTCGCATAACTGTGTAATCAAATTGTAAATATTATTATTGTTATATAAACGCGAAGTTTTTAAAATCTGCTGTTTTGACGTTTAAGTGTTTCCTGAAATGCGTCGATATTTAACCGAAATGATACACGCTATACGGGAGCGAATCCAGAACGAGATAATAGAGGGGTGTGAAATTGAAAATTCATACATTAGGCACACACACACACACACATTTATGACAATACATGATGAGTGTAAGTGTTAAAAGTATAATAGGACTAAGAGTATGGTGAAGACTAAAAGAGGAGGGGCAATTACCCCATAGATCCATCAGTCGATGTATACGTATATATAGGTATATTCTCGTTCATTTAGACTGTTGCAGTCACCTCCCCGCCCCCCTTGGACTTGAAAAACATTTTTACTTGAACTATATAGATACCCAAGGCTACTGGAAAGAGACCACTGGATCTCTGGATACCCTGTCCAGCGGTGATACATGAACGTAAAAAGTATAATTTTGTATGATAAAAAATATTTTGAGCACTTTTCTCTCTGGAAATTTGTTTTAAGTTACGGACTTGTAGGTACGTAAAATGGAAATGATATTATGACCATTACGAAATGGTTTATCTTGTAAGATTGATCGTCTAGATATAATAAAAATCATAAAGTTTAGAAACTTTTTTAAAACACTTTCAAAATACGGTGAATACTTCTTATGTGTTTGAACGCAACAGCTGTAATAGGTAAAAACGAAATTTGACATTCGTACAATTTCCACGTTTAATATAATAAAAAAAAATCACGTACACGAGTTCAAAACCACCATAAATTAATAATTTGGACATTACGACGAAAAATATATACCTAGGTATATGTTATTAATGTTAGACCTTTAAATCGATTGTGAAATCCGCAACGTAATCCGATCTACGTAATGGATCACCCGTAATTTAAACATAAACTTAGATTGAAGTAAAAATCGTTGAAATATTAGACGTTTGAAAAAAAAAAAAACTACACCCGATGACAACTATCCGAACAAATTCCGCAGACATCGTTCGAATAGCTAAATAATTTTGATGGTATATGTGTTTGATAACAAATTCTAAAGTACTTATATAATATAACTGTTCAAGGACGAGCATTTCTATAATATACATATCTGAAATACAACGTTCACCTAAATTATAATATTCTTAAAGTAGGTATACATCGTATGTTTGTTTTTCATGAATATTTACCTTTTTGGCGTTCGCGTGTTTTTTCTGTTCTATGTTTATGACTATTTATGTACTACATACGTAATTTGTATACGATTCCGATTCTCTTGTCTATTTATACAATTATTAAAAATGTAGACGGGAAAAACAGACTATTTATGCTCGTTGTTTATCGAAACGTGCAAACGGCTAATCAAAAATTAATAAAACTGGCAGTTTATGTATTATTTTTTATTAAAATTAATATTTTATAACGGACAAAATAAAACCCGTAAACGACGATATTCATTGCTATCGGACAGTACATTTCCTGTTTAAACAAAAACAACAAAATATAAACACTTATAATATTACCAATGATCATACACTCGTATTGATAAATATTCTGAACTGAAAATAATATTCTCATCTCACCATAAACGCAGTATATTTTATTTTACGTTAAAAATGTTTTTCCACAAAGCAAACGCGTATCTTATAAAGTCATATCGAATAAAACATAAATGTATAAAGTCAAGTAGCCATATGCTCTAAGGTGGCCAATTCTGTTGATTAACCAACGGAATATTTGTTCACGCCTTGATAATATTATGGTGAAGATTAGAAGAAATTTTAATTTCCCGCCTTAAACTTGTCTTCCCCTTAATTTATCAGATGCACGCTGCATCTTTACTGTATTGTCAATTTTAACGGGAATTAACAAAACATATGACGTGTTAGGTTCAGTAATGGGGAAAGTCGTTTTTAATGCGGCGAATTTCTAACTAAACCAACGGAAATGAATTATAAATGAACCGGAATAGTGATAGTGATTTCGACCAACATTCAACAACAGTATTTTAGATTGATTTGCGCTGGCCAGTTTCTCTAGAGAAACAATTATTCGTAATTAATTTCAAATATTTGCATATTTATTTATTTATTTATGTACGGAATAAATTCATTTACAGCAGTAATGTGTAGTGTTGCAGTATAACAAAAGATATAATGAACATTTGTTTAGTGATTAGATATTATTTAAAACATAGATATGACACAAAAAGAGTTTCCAAAATATCAAGTAAAATTATATGTAATAATTTGTGGCACAAACAACGGCATATGTCACGGATTAATCAATACAATTTTCCCTCTTGGTTGGTGAACGACTGTCAAACTTCAGATTTTGCTCATGATGTGATAAGATTTATAGACCTGGTCAAACGTTGATGTTTCTATTTATAGTACATTACAGTATCATTAATAAATGCGTACAATGTTCCGAATGGCATATATTGTGTTGTGCTAAGCGATATTAAAAGCATACAAAAATATTTTCATAATAAATAAAAATAAAAAAAACGCCCGTGAGCACCATATAAACTCCATCATTACATTATATTACACAGAAATATTCTGTGTAAAACAATAAACCACCGAATACAATAAATAATACAATACTACACTAAATACACTTACTTTTCCAAACATATAAAAATTCGAACATACAAATAGCAATGATAAGAATTGAAAGTTTGGAACGCCCAAAAGCCACATTCTCGATACTACCGGGTGATCGATTTAAGTGGATACACTCGGAAAGTATTAACTTTTTTCGGAATTTGTTTCCTAGAAAATTTAAAAAACAAGCAGTTCTACAATTTTATATTTAAGTTATTTTTCGTCACCCTTATTTTTGGGTAAAACCACTACCTACTTTTGATTTTCAAATGGCAACCTACATTAAAAATTCCATCAATAAATGGAGTATTAGTTAAAATAAATTTGAATGTTGACAATTTTATTTCTGACGAGCCGTTAACGAGATATTCCACTTTTAAGTTTGGGTTGGGGGTGGTGCATTATTAACACGCCGCGCGCCGTAACGCCACTCAAATGATACTCCGAGTAGTGGAGAAGGAGAGTAGCTCCTTCTACCCAAACTTAAATGTGGAATATCTCGTCAATGGATTGACGGAAATCAAAAATGTTAACACTAAAATTTATTTTAACTAATACACCATCTATTTATGACATTTTTAATATAGGTTGCCATTTGAAAATCAAAAGTACGTAGTCGTTCCAAAAAATAATTTAGATGTTAAATTTTAGAGCAGCTTATTTCTTAAAATGTCCAGAAAAAATAATTTTAAAAAGTGAATACTTTTTAATTTGACCCCTCTGGATTTATTGTATTAGGATTTTCAAAGTTTAAAGAAAACACTTTCCTCCAGCGATAATATTTTGAAATGTACGGTCAAACTTAACCTATAACTTCAATCCGTTTATAAAACAGCTTTAAATTCCGAGTTTAAGCTCATTTGGTCTATAAAGGGAGCCGCTAAAAGTATCCAAAAATAGCGGGAATAAAGATATATTATAAAACAGATACAATTACAGCACAACAGTCTCTATTTTCGGATAAAATTCGACAATGAACAATCTTAAAAATAAAAAAAAAAACACCCAACACTATTTGGGTTAATTACGCTCAGATGATTCGTCAGAAAATACATCATAACATTTTTTATAGTTATTATTTTGTACCTACAGATTATAAATCGTTACAATACATAAATGATTATAGAAGGTATATTAGTATCTGTCTACCTATCGTGTATATAATATTGTAATAAATATTAAACCGCGCGTCGCAGTATCGGTGGCGATAAATTGCATTCGTATTGCAATATAGTATTATAATTTATAATTATGAATAGAAATTTTCTCTATAGCCTCGAGTAACGATATTATAACGTTTATAATTTTCGCAATCGTGTTCGTGCAATAGATAACAATAGTATTAATGTGTGTCGTGCGAAGAGTATTATCTTTTTACAATTTTTTTTTTTTTTTTTCTAAAATTCGTGTTAGTGATGGATAACACTCTAGAATAGGTATTCGTTTTTCCTACACGTATTATCGATTCACACAAATTAAAATAGACAAAATCGAGTTTAGTTTCAAATGCTCAGACTGAGGAGACAGACACACGGTTGGGAATCATAGTTATTTACGACATTTTTAACAATACCTTGTTAAAATGTTAAAAACAATAAAATTCTAAAGTTTAAAAAATATGTTCGTTAATATAAATAGAAACTTTATTTTAGGGCCGCTCACTGCATCAATCTTTTAACGGATTATGTTAATAATATGGACGGGAAAGTGAGTACATCAATGTAATTATTGTATTAGTTTCTTATCAGACTTGGAAATAGTTTTTCGGAACGAAATTTAAAATAAAATATTAATTATACCTATTATATGAAAAAATCTGTGTTTGATACCTGGCTCGTGACTAGAACGCACAATATCTAAGTAATAATATTACATTTTTTATTTCCCAATACCTCTGGAAATATCGTCGTCGTATTGTTTATTATCGTTGGGCACATTAAATTTTTGCCCGCAATCGGCTATTCAATACTGTGTGCGTTTAGGATTAACAGAATATAGTGAAATTCTCCTTGGACAATAGGACTTTTCGTGACGCAATCCTATATGAGCTGTGTTATTCGGTATTTGTGCTGTACGTGCTCGGAGTCATAAACATATAATTTCATAATATGAAACATATATCGTAGAAATATATTGACAAAAAAAAAAAAATTAACGATAAACGTTTATTTAAGGTTGAGCAAGTCAATGAATAATATTAACTCAATTAAGTTAAAGCTAGGTAATTGAAAAAAAGCTGCCCTAAGATAATGGGGACGGGCGCGGCCACCGCTATAGGTAATTTAATGTACACCTGTTAGCAACGATAAACCGTTGCTAACGAAAAAACGATTCTGAGGGAAGATCAGTTGATAGTGATTCTTTTTCAACAATATATACGTCATATTATGGTAAAACAAATAAATAGAGATTATATATTATCTTTAATAATAATTGTTTATTTGGTTTTCCCAGTTTTCCATTGTTTTTTCCCGGTTTTTCACATTAACTGGGAAAACTCTTGGGAAAATCAAAAAAAAAAAGGAGCCAAAGTCTAAACAAGATCTCTAGTAGAAAAGTTGTCCTCAGAAAAAAAAATAATAATAAATAAACATCTTTGTAAAACTAAGCTTCTTCGCTGCACCCAGAATCTAAACAAGTTTAAGAGTAAATACGTTAATAGATTGATGTAATAATTGAATACATTTTTAAATATTTTGTTTTTGGTTTTTTTTATATACAATTGTTATAATTATAGTAAAAATAATTAAACCTGCGTGAAATTTTAATTTTAAAAACGTTAGGTAGATTTCAATGTCAAATATCTGGGCCAGATATTCCGGGAATATTAAATTATAACTACTTTTTTTAAATTCTAAATTCTGAGCGCCACGCGCAAATTATTGAGGAAATAATTTATAAAATTTATAGTACTCATTCAAAAAAATTATAAATTTTAAATAATGTAAGTGTTTACATACATACGATTTAAAACAGATGAACTTTAAATTAACAAAGTGCTTATGTAATTTAAACTTAATTCGTTGTTTATTGAGTTGATGTAAATAAAAAAAAAAGAAAACAGTTAATTTGATAACAAAATCAAAGGTTAAAAGTTGAAATTGACTTGACCATGAACTTTATTACACGTTAACAGCCTTGCATTTTTCGTCCGAGACTATTATTAAAAGTGTCTAGTAAAAATTTACCACTCGTGATCGTAACTTTAATAAATACAAATTGCTGCGAATTTGTACATTCAACTCTTACGTACAACTTTTACTTTTTTTGAGGTATTCTCGATGGTAGGTATACTTATATTTTGACCGATGGAAAAGTGATGATTCGATAGGCATAATATTAAAAAGAAAAGTAAAATAATGGGAATGGGTGCAACCATTGGTGTAGGTAGGAAGTTAGGAAGGTAAGAAACAGACAAAAATTGTATGTATAATTGTAAGCAACGATAAACCATTGATAACGAAAAAACGATTCTGAGTAGAGTTCAATTAATAGCGATACTTTTTTAAAAATATATATATATTGTTGAATACACCATAGTATAGTAAAATAATTACATATGCTCTATATATTTTCTTTAATAATATTTCTTTAGTGTACCGATTTCCACTATTTTCCTACGTTTTTCCAATGGTTTTTCCGATTTTTTACATTTGCTGAGAAAACTCAAAAAAAAAAAAATAATGATAACTCTTCTAGGTACCTCCCTACACCGATTTACTTTCAGAAAAGTTACAACACGTAAAAATCGGCGCATATTTTCTGGTAGAAAAGTTGTCCGTAAAAAAAAAAAAGTAAAAAATAATAATAATAATAAAAATCTTTGTAAAGCCATAAGGTTCTTCGCTCCATTCAGAATTTAAAAACGATTTCACGAATCCCATTTTTAAGTCTTCTTATAATTGTTTTTTCAATAAAAACTAATATTATGATATATTTGTTTTGAGTTCCGTTTCTTTTTTACTGTCTGTCTTCTATATAATATACCTCTCAGATAAAAAAAATTATACAATTCTTCAATATTCACGATGTACCTACTCAAGAAGAAAACAATTATTACATTTTGATTGCTATTAAGATTCGATTATTATTCGTTAAAAGTTTGTGGATGAAGTTGAAAACTATTTACATTATAAGTACGCGTCAATAAATACAAAAATGTATCTAATGTTTAACACGACAGTATTGAATAAAACAAGTTTGTAGATTATATTAAATTTAAAAAAATCTCGTATTGTATCAATCTGAATATCGTTCAGGAATTCAATACGTATTATTTTATTACAATGTTTACCACGTGCACAGTATTTAAAACAAGAAAAAAAGACCTTATACTAGAGATGGGTATGCCACTGTTGTAAGTCAGGAGTTGAGAAGTTAGGATGCATAAAATTATTTAATTCCTATCTGTAAGCAATGACAAACCATTGATAACGAAAAGTGATTTGGAGCGCGGTTGCCCGCTCATTTATGTATAAAAAATGGTACCTAAATCCATATTCGTGACAATCAAATCAATTAAAATGATAACTATTATTTTTTTTCATCCGTAACCAATAAATCAAAAAAAAAAAAAATAAATATATTTTCGTACCGAAAACATCAAAAATCCAGTATAATATTTCATTATTTAGGGATTGAATTTTGAAAAGCCAACTTCGAGGCGAATACGTGATGAAAACTATATTATTTTTTTCCTAAAAACAAAAAAAAACAGAAAAGAAGTGTTCGAAGTCAAATAGTTTTACAAACCAAATATCGGAAAACTGAAAGTGTATTTATTTTTTTTTACTTCTGTACTCCTGCGTTGTGGTCTAAATGTATGAAAAAACGAGTTACTATCAACGGACAATAAAATAGAGACAAATAGAATGCACAAGAAAAATTGTAGTCCGGTGTATTATTTTTGTTTGTATTTACGACTAGTTCTAAAAAAAAAAAATGTTCACCAAATAAAAAAAACGCGACTGCGGTGTTAGTTTTTTCTATTCCTATTTGTCCGATAATATTTCATCTGCACCACGTCATATTTATATTAACGATACGTCCTATAGCGCAGGCTGAATTTGACAGACAGTAGTTTTTTATACTATTTACAACTCGAAACGCGCCGCACTATAGTAGTTTTTTTTTTTTTTTTTGTTCATACTATTTCTGGCCACGCGTTCGTAGAAAGTCACTGGCAAGTGCACATAGTATAGATACATTAAAATATTATAATGCGAGTGTATACATCGCACGGAGTCGGGACTCGAAACGTCCCGTCTCGAAATCGTTTAATAATAATATACTTTTAGTAAGTAGGCGAATAAAGAATACCTACTACGGTGGATATATATATACATATTTTTTTTTTTTTTTTTTTTAACGAAAGTATCCGAAGTACCGGCCGACTGGCGCCGCTTTGAAACGAAATAACATTATGATAATATCGTAAAGGAATCGTCTCCGGCCAGATGACCGATCGCGGGTGTTTTCGCCGAGTCGGTAATATTGGAAATCGCGTGTACCGATGTAACGGGCGACTACGGCATTAATTTATAATAATTCTACTCGCGGTACGTTTTCTCGGGACGTTTCGGCTATATATCATTACGATATTGTTCTTATCGTAGTATTTTTTTTTTTTTTTTTTTATGTTTTACGTATGTAAATGTTTTCCTCCTCGGGGCGCGCGAACTCGTTGAAAAAAATGTAATAAGCGAGAAGAAAAAAAAAAAAATTATTAACATATCCATAATATTTCCGTATATTCCGTATTTTCTCACGTGTGAAAAAAAAAACTGTACTCACGAAGCCAGGGGAAACACGTGCTGCGTTCGCTACGAGATGATGCGATAAAAAAAATTAAAAAAAACTCGAGTCATTTTTTTCTCGATTGGAATTCGTTAATTCGATTAGGCGGTACCGTAAATAGAGCAGCGGTAAAAGCCGCGAAAATCCCAAAATTCTTCATGTACGAGAACTCTTGTACGCCGTGTGACGTTTAAAAATCCGGCTTGAGATCCATGTCGCCGAACATCATTTTATTAATATACCTACGTTTAACATGTCAGATCTCTGGGTTCGTCGCGTTATTTCACGTTATTTACGTCCAAAACCGGTGTGTTATAATAACGTTTGAATTTGGTATCCAATTTTTTTTTTTTTTTCCCGCGAAACCAAACGGAAAATTAGAGGTGTTTCAATTAGGTGCTCGAAGTGAAAACTGTAAAAGATGTTTTAGATGCGGAGCGAGGAATATGTGTGTTGGTTTGACAATAATGTTTATAATTTTTTTTTCTGTGAACAACTTTTCTACCAGACATTTTGCTTCGATTTCCAAGTGCAGCACTCTTTCTGAAAGTAAATATGACTGGGACTCTATAAGCAAACCCGCTTATCGAACATGGTTGTATTTCGATTTTCTCAGGTATTTCGATTATGAACAGGAACAACCGGAAAGTTTACGAAATTTAATATTTTCAAATCGTAATAATTACGGCCTTTCAAAACTTGTAAAACCGAATTCCACCCAGTACGGTTTTTCGTTAGCAATGATTAATCGTTGCGTACAGACATACAATAAATTTCCCCCCTACTTTCCCAACTTTTCACTTACAACAGTGGCCCACCCATCGTGCGAAAAATGTCCGTCTGTTTTTTTTTTCCTGGCCATTATAGGACCAGATTTTCCAGACGAGTCCATTTTCTGCTACAGCCTTCCAATCCCTGTTTCCTTGTCCTACTCTTGCGTCAATATTAAAACATTCTTTATATTGCTTTCTTCCCAACGAAGTCTTTATCTGCCCAGAGGCCTATTATCATTTAGAGAATGATTACATGGAATCGAAAAAATAACAGTTTTCTACATTTAGAAATCCGATATAATAGCTAATGTTTCGCGATGTCGATGACGAATCATCGGTTTTTTTTTTTTTTTTTTTTTTTTATTCGACCGGTATGCTAAACACGGTCGCGACTCGTATACTATAGCATGAGTCATATGCGCATATATAATATTACCAATATATCATACGAATAATATCATTATTACCATTTTACTCTTCCGCGCGTGAGTCACACGACGGACGATTTTCGTTTTTACTAACGTTCGAATCCGCGAAAATCGGCGGCAAGTTCTCCGGGCGCGCGTATATCATTATAAAAAATTAACAATTTTTCAGCGTTTTTATTTTCGTACTCCGCAGACGCGCGTAGCGATGAGTCGAAACAACGTCGGCCGAGAATCGAAAAACCCGTACCGCCAGTCATCGAATATCGCTCACTCGGAAGAAAACAAAAAAAAAAAAAAAAAAAAAAAAAAACCGTCTACCCGTCGATAATTATATTTTACGTATTGCACACGCGTGCGAGGCGTCACGATAAACAATATTATGCTATCGTGACGAAACGTTTTGATATGTGTTGTTGTGATTTATCGTTACGAGACCGTATTACACACGACAATATGCGAGAAATTACTATTAATATACGTGTGATATCCGACGGCGGCGTGGAATACTTAAAAAAAAAAAAAAAAAAAATCACAGGCGTTTACTCGCGTTTTGCAGTGCGTGTGACCGGGGGAGGGGGGGGGTTGATAGGTTTGCGGAAACAACGGTTATACGCAATCAACGCCGCCGAAATTGGCCGTCAGACTCCCGAAAGGCCGACAACATCCGCGGACAGTACGCCCGAAATCAATCCGGAACCCGAATAAACTTTGAACGGACGGAGAAACAAATGTTGCTTTTACGCTAGGTTAAGGATCAGGGAAACGGGAACGGGAACGGGAACAGACCGGACAACACTCGGGCCGGTACCGCTGTCGGATGTGCGCCATTGTCGCAGTCAGAAAGGTGGGGTACATTCAAAGGCGGGCATTAATTTGTTTATACCGTGCGGAACCAAGGCGAAATAGAAAGAGAAAAAAAAAAAAAACGTTCGTGATATATGCCGTATAATATTGTGTTGAATACGAGCGTGATACACGAAACTCGAACATATTACAATCGAAATTACTGTCGGTATTATTCGTGGCGGTTATCACATGGGTACACGGCGAGTCCAGTTTGATTTTTATCACCCGTGTTTTACTTTTTATTTTTATTTTTTCTTTCGTTCGTGACAGAATTAAAACGAACACGGCGAAAGTTGCTCGGTCTCTGTCGAACACCGTCGACGCTCGTCTATGCGTTCGGTTGAAGTCGTTTAATTGACGTTGAATAAAATCCAATTCGTCGGGCATTGAAATTGCGAAATGTGAACGCATTGAAATCGCACATAATATACCCATCTGTCAACCCCGTTAACTGCGCCGTTCAATACGTAGTCGTTTTTTTTTTTTTTTTTACGCGCGATCTTCAAATTGAATTAACGGACACGTATCGGTTAATTTTTTTCAACAAGTTTTCGTTGAAATTCGTTTAGCGGTTAGGTCGGGTTAGCGACGAAACGTGAGCCGCCGTCGAAATTGTGACAAACAGTGGAAAAGCGGAAAACCCGAGGCGGAGGGGAAGAAGAATCGATCGGCGGTCCCCGGACGACGCGTAATTTTCGACGTTCCCGACGATTTTCGCGAACAATCGCGTTCCGGCGTACGTCCGCGCGTTCGCACGGTTGTCCGCGGGTAAACACGTGCGGGTACAACGTTCTCTTATCGCGGTGTTGCGCGCGCGCGATTCCGGAGCGGGCGATTCGCCGGGAGACCGCGCGGTCGGTCGCTGATCCCTCTGATAACAACGCGGTCGTGATAACAACGTCGGCTTGCGGAACGAAACACGGATTGTAACGCGAATGCGGAATATTCTATCGCCGTAACAGTACGATCGATTTATTTGCCATTATACGCGACACAACCGAACTGCGGTTCGGAATCCGTTGTCCGCGTGCGTAGCACAAAACGTGTCGATAATCGGTACGGTGTACCGATTAATATTTGCACGGTGTAACGTGGCGATTTTCGCGCCGTATTTTCGTTCTCGAGGCCTGCGCCGCGTGTGACAAACGAGCGGACGCCGATTTGGATTCGGGGCGCGCCGACGAATGGCATCATTGGTTTTACGGCGCGCGCCCTTTTTTATTTTTTTCCTCCCCGCCCGCGAACAACTTTCCACCGAGAATTCTAGGCCCGACCGGAAAACGCCACCAGACCGTTTTTGTTGCATTTGGGACACGGCCGGCGCGTTACGGCGGACATTTTATCCACGGACATGACCATCGGTCCGTATTTTCCCGCGTAAACATCGCGGCTCGACGGAATCTTTTCGTTTTGTCAATACTTATCGGCCCGTTTCGCTCACGAATCGAATAGATACAATGTGTCGATTGGACAGCTTAAACAAACCGTTCGGATGTCCGGATTATAAAAAAAAGAAAAAAAAAAAAAAATTCGGACCGATTAACATTCCGCCCGTCCGCTTTGGATAGGTATTCACTGCTCCCGAGGCGCACCACAGCGAGACGAATAACGAAAACAACGCATGCGCGTGCGTTGTACTGTTTTGAAAATGACGGAGAAAACGAAAATTTCGATAAAAGTCAATGCGTAAGTCAAATTGGCGTAACGCTTTCCGCGATAACGGGACCGGGAGGGGTGGAGGGGGGAGAGGGGTACAATTTCCGTACTGACCGCGGTGTGGCGAGTCCGGGTTTCTACGCGTGCGTTTGACGACACCGCTATGTGTATCGTTGATTTATCGGCAACGCGCAATTATTATTATTATTGTTATATTCGACATGTCCGTCGAACGGACGGACGTTATCCCAATTGATGGCCGCGTCGCGTAAAAAACGTTAATGTTTCCACCGTCGACCGCGGAGATGTCGGGGGAAAAAAAAACGTCGGCCGCGCGTGTCCGGGACCAAGGCGAATGCGTAACGAAACGGAACACACGCGGCTGTTATTGGGTCAAACGCGCGCGGGGCATTCCGGCAATACGTGTCGGTGTCGCGCCGGTTGAGTCATTTTTTGTTTTTTTTTTTACGCGCGTTTTTTTTTTCCAATTATTGTTCGGCCGGCAGTAACCGCGGACGCGGTATCGCGCCGTTGCGGGTTACGCGATCGCTCGGAAACGACCGAGCCGAGTATCCAATGTCCCCGATTGTATACGAGTTCTGTTTATCGCCTTTAAATGAAACGAAATTGAGTTATTGTTATACCGTACCGGGGTTACCGCCTAACCGTAAAATTAACTCGGCCCCCTCGATCTCGTAAAAATCGACGCAGACACTTGAAATAACCCCCGGGCGGGTACGCGATAATGGTAATTTCCATAAAACAAAAAAATATTGCGCTCCGTATAGTACCGAAAAAACGCGATCGTAAAACCGCGTTCGCAATGCAATTACCAACCGGCCGACAAAAAACAATAAGAGGCGCTTCAAATCTTCGTCGTCGCGCGCACGTGGCCTTTCAGTATTTCTTCACCGGCGGTATTCAACCTCCGACTAGTTCGATGACTATTATATCGTATCGGTGCCATTAACGGCGGCATTTTGTCGTCTCTGTAGTGTTCGCCAGTAAAACAAACGAAAATACCTTTAAAATTGATTTTGGAGATAAAACGCCAATGTAAAACTTGTAGACGGTTGCCGGATGGGTGTATTTTGGAATCTCGATTCTCGACGTATATTTATTTATTTATTTTTTTTTTTTAACGTCAAATAAATTAGTTATTGAAAAATGAATAATGTTAAGTACGATCTGCTATACCTTCCATAGCGAATTAAATGTGTATAAAACTGTGATACGCCGATTAGGTTGTATTGAAAACGTCGACGTGTACAAATAATAAGTACTACAGGTACGTGGTTTATCACCAAAGCCGACTTCAAAATAATTTTCGCTTGGTTTACGTGAACACGTCATTAATTAATTAAATGTAATTGCTATCGTTAGAAAGACAGTGACGACGAAATTACGCTGGTGTGACATAATGTCACTGTGTCTTTTAAGGATTTCCGGGCAGCCTTGATCTTCCACTTCCGATTCTGCTTTCTATGCACGATAACCTTCGATAATCGTTTTCAACCAATCGTAATATTATACATTTTCTATATTTATAATACCGATATTAAGTGCGTACGAATTCCATTTCATTTGTAAATTGATTTTGGATTGACCGCGAATTACCTAATATACACCGGGGAGGACCTTATATGAATTGCGCAGTAAGTTGGTAGTTCGGAAAAAAAAAATGTTAAAAAACCAGACGGAGTATAAATAGTACTCTACGGATCAGAACGCAAAACTAATTTCAAAACCGGTTTGGACATTTAGATACCCTAGGGCTGAATTTTTCAATGATGCTTTCAAAAAAAAAATGATGAAAAAAATGGTTAAAATGTATTTAATATGTTTTAACAAAATCAAAAAAAAAAGAACCGATACAGGGGACGAATGCGGCCACTGTTGTAGGTGGGAAGCCGAAAAAGTGGGATACAGAGGGGAATTTGATTTATATCTGTACGCAACGATTAATCATTGCCAACGAAAAACGATTCTGAGCAGAGCTCAGTCAATAGTATTGATTTTTCAATAATGCGCGTTTTCACAAGAACAACGATCGTTCCAAAGATTAAAAGATTAAAGTAAAATATTGAAACGGTTGCCACTGATAACCTTATTTTCAATCTTTTAATCTTTTTCAACTTAAAGAATCGGTTTTTCCTCATTATCTCGGATATTAATAAGAATTCCAAAAAATGACTTTTCTAATGTACCAACCAGAGGCAAAATTTAACAAAAAAGGTATCATAATCATATTTTGATTGGAACAAGATTAATAGGAGTGTAGTTGTTTGTAAATGGAAAAAAATTTAAAAACACACATTACAGTAAAATCAATATAGACCCCTCGCTTCACTTTAATAAATATTATAATAATATATATATATATAGAATCTAATAAATAACATCAAATTTCTAGAAGTTTCCACAAAAGGTCATCAACGAATATTTATTAAAATCAATAAATTGCCTGATAACTAAATCATTAGAAAAACAACATACTATACTGTGGTAAAAACACAGATCCGTGGAGTTTTGTGCTTCGCTGGCTGTCCATGCCCCCCCTTTCTAGACCACACTCGTAATTTGAACTTAAATATATTATTCCGAAAGACGTTTCAATAATTTACTATTGTTGATGTCTATTGACACTCGGTTAACGATTATTATTAAAATTTGTAAATTTTTTTTTTTTTATAATTTTCCGTTTCGTGTCTACAGAATAGTTTTTTTCGTTTGAACGAAATTACGATAGTATTACACTGCTACAATTCTTCGTGCTTGGCCGAACAAACAGTTATAGATGAGTACCCGCTGAACACCTGCAGCAGATCGATGAATCTGAGTTAACCTGTCATTTGCAGAGTTATTCTTTTAACAAAAAAAATTGTTTTTTTTTTTTCGTAATGTTATAATACATTTTATTTAATCTACAAGTAGTAATCGTTTATTTACTCCACTTTTGCGTATGTATTATCGATAGTGAGCTAAATTGATTATTAGACCGCAAAGCTAGAAAAAACATCAAAACTATATACTAGATAATAGAAAAAACTTTTACGGACTGTGATCGAACAAATCAATATGATGAATCTAAAGGGTTTAACATTAAATATTTTCAATTTGATTAGATCCAGTGCCAGGTCCAGGCCATTGTTTATTTGTGGAACGAGAGGCAAAACCATTTGGAAAAATGAAACCAGGTATATATTTCTAAATCATTTTATTAAAACTTTATAAAAGCACAACTACTAAATTACGGTATCTGGATTTTTTCAATATTTGGTGATTTTAAATGCTATAAGTTCTGAACCTTAGAATTATTTACAGTTCAATATATCCATATTAATCGTAGAAAACAAAAGTATTTTATTCGTGGCGGATTTTTAATTTTTTCACTCACTTATATTCCAGTTTATCAGCTGATGCAGATCGTGTGTTATTAACAATTAATACCGATTTACTGCCATGGTGTTTTTCCCCCGGAAACAAAAAAATCATGTTTTCCCTTTGCAGACGTCAAAAACGTCACGTTCGCAGTATAATCGGTCTCGTATATATTCCCACCTATTTCTAAACAACAATAACTTATAAGCGGCAACTCAAAACGTAAGAAAATAAAAAAAAAAGTTAAAAATCACCTCGGGGATAATTAATGATAATAATAATAATAATAATAACAATAACAATAATAATAATGATTCGTTTGATAAGGACATTTTTGGTCGTTTAGTCATTTTGTTATGCATTTTTCGGTCTGTGTTATTTTATTTTGTTTATTTTGTTTTTTGTTTTTTTTTGTTTTTTGCACCGGGGAATGAGCGGCGACAAACCTCTGCAACACCGGTGGTGCACCCATAATCCTTGTAATAATAATAATAATAATAATAATTTTTTCGCATCAACAATATTATACACTATTATGCTAATATTATTCTCGGGCACAGTGTTTCTTTTTTTTTTTTACTTTTTATATTCGCTACACTATTGTCGCGCTCGCGTATAATTTATCCGGTTCCTTTTGTTCGCGAGTCTTTTTGTTTTTTTATTCTTATCGACAATGTTTTTTTTTTTTTTTTTTTTCTATACGATACTATATTGTAATAAAATAACGCGTTCGTCAAGTGCGGTTTATACCTATAACATAGATAGGTAATATTATAAACACGAAATACCTTTTTAAACCGATCGCACGCCGCCGTTAAACCAGTTTTATCCCATAGTGTATGACAAATGCAAATGGCACACTCTTTTGTTTAGTTTAGTCTCTTGCGGTCTTATAAACGCACGACATAATTGATAACAATGGCAAATTTGCGTTTGTAAAAGCCGATTTTGAGCCGTTAGTTTTGATAGTGTAGAACAGCGAATGAGTGTAGTGCAATACTTAGGATGAATAATAAGTGGAGTAACGGAAGAAAACAGGATATGGAATGAGTACGTAAGAGGTAATATTATTAAAGAAAATAACATACAGTGCCTTTATAATTGTTTTACCATAATACGACATGTATATATTCTCTAGACCCTGAATTCTAAGAGTGGTCAACCTGATACCGTGTTATTATCTATATCCATGCGCCACCATATTATGCATCGCATATTAAACTGTCATAATGTGATTATAGTTCGTTCGCGCGCTTTAGTAAGAAATATGAACGCCGACCGTCACGCGCTTACTGTACTGGACTTTTGTTTTTGTTTTTTTTTTTTTTATGTTTTCACGGGGGTTTTATGTTTGGAAATGTTGGGAATAGCCGGCGGACCGGTGATACTACGGTGCTATTCAACAGTTAGTCATCGCGTTTTGAGAATGCATTATCGTTTTTTTTTTTTATCCATGACTACTACATTCTACAATAATTTGTGATACTAGAACTAATAACGAAAAATAATCGGTTGGCGCGTCATGATCGTGGCTCACTTTTCACACCTGTCCTACTACAATAATATCTAATACCTAACATTACTATTATTGTTAATATTTCAAAGTTTCTCGCAATGAAATAATTGGACATAAAAACAGCAATCGATTTCGCCTCAATCGCATGGGTTATATTATCGATCACACAATAATTTCTGTATTCCGTTTGACTGTCGCTATTTGCAAATAGTATAATTGTAAACATATACATTATTATTTTTTTTTTTTTTTTTTTTTTTACTAAATACTACGATATTGGGTTATACTTTTGTTAACCCAGTTTCCGTGTTGTCCGTATTATCATTTCTATAATACGACAATAATATGACGTGTCCTATACATTACGTATGCCTAACCTATTTTTCATTTTAACCGGATTACGAACAATTACACCGAGGATGTCGGTTTTGACTGCGCGTGTGCGGTATACAATAATAATATGTACACTTGTATGTACAATAATTTACGGTTTCGAATGACCAGACTGAGATAACAGAACCCCGAGGAGGCGTGTGCGGCAAATAATAGTGTTATATCGACGGAGTAACCAAAAGTCACTTTTTTTTCGGTGCAAAACGAAAATTGATTAGTATTAGACGTTTTTCGAAAACGGGTTTTCAGGCAAACCCTCGTGACGCTGTGTGCGGAATCTGACTTAAAACCCGAAGACTGTTGAGTACCTGCTAATAACAACAGCGGATACTCTGCAATAACCTATAGGTGTAGGTTGCGACTGTTATGTATTCATACGGAAAAAAAAGGCTCGGAAAAACGGTGGGGTGGGTGGGAAACTGGAGATTGATTATTATACAATTCGTGACGATTAAACGCATATGCGGCTTCGTCACTCGCGATCACCGTTAATATAGTATCGATGGTATCTTGCAATTTGATTTCTATCTGTGCGTTCGCGCAGACAGGTTTTCATTTGTATTTCTCGTCCCTTGTAATGCACAATGTTATGACAGGTCGCCCGCACAGCCGTGCACAGCCGTGCAGGTACACGCGGACAAACGTAAATCGCGCCCAGACGTGTGTCGGAAAAAAAAAAAAATAATAAAAAAAATGGTCGTCTCGCTACGTTCTAATCCGGTAGTCGTACACGTTTTCGAAACCGGCGGCAGACGCCGTCGCGCGACGGGACACCCGCCGACACGACGCCTGAATCGGGATATCCGAAATAGAAATTCCCGCGCGACAGGCACGCGGGCAGACATTCGTTTCGGGCGAATAATAATAATAATAATAATAATGATGATGATGATGACGATGAGGGGGAAAAAAAAAATGAAACCGAGAATCGTTTTGCCGAGAAGAAATCGACCGCGCCCCACCGGCCGCGGCCGGCTGCGCAGTCTCGGCGTCGGGACGAACGAATTGCGAACGGAAACGGATGACGCGGACGACGAATATCCCGATTGATAGCGCGCGTCGCGCGACGTTCGATTGTTCGACGGCCGACCGAACGGACATCGTCGGCGTCACAGACGGGAAACGCCGGATAGTGATACCGGCGCCGTAGACGTCCGAACGGGTTTGTTCGCTCTGAGGGGCGGGCGGGCGGGAGGAAAGCCGTCCCGCCAAAACGACGGTTTTCAACGGCGGCACGCGCAAATGCGCACCGCGGATCCGGATCGGTTGCGCGGTATTTCTCCCGGAACCGAACGCGCCCCTACGCGATCGTGTCCAGCGGCCATGCCGGTCCGGACGATCCCGGCCGGGTAACAACTACAGAGACACCGGCGGCGCGTGCGTCGAACGGCCGGATTGAGAACCACGAAGACGGCGCGCCGACGACGTCTCGCGCCGCCGTACGATCCCGGTGACGTTCGGCAACCGAGACCTACCGGGAAATGTCCAGAGCCGGGCCGAAATCGTTTCGCCCCGCGTTTGGATTACGACAGCGGCCGGTCGAATCGTCGGTTTTCGTCGACACGCTATCGTTACACATTCGCGTTGCCGTCGCGTCAAGTATACCGGCTGAAGATGCAACGGTTTTACGTAACATTTGCTTCGGTTTTGTAAAATTTGAAAATAAATTGCTCGCGTTTTGATGATCGCCGTAATTGATACGATTTCCACCAATCTGCTGAATCGGTACCCGATGTCCAAAACGTTATTACGATTGGTTAGGTTTTCGACTATGATAATGTGTCGGAATTATTATTTTTATCACGAGTAAAAGTCCAACACGTTTTATGCGAATGTTTGAATATCTTTCTACGATTTCCGTACGAAAAATTAGAATCGTCTAGAAATGAAAACCGAACGAGAGATTTTTAACTTCTATATAAGAACTTCAAAAAAAAAAATCTAAATCCGTTAACATAAAACCGTCACCGATCCCCATAAAACATTCTGAAATTCATTACGGTTCTAAATAAAAAGCTAAAATCTTATATAATTAAGTTTTTCAAAAAAAAAAAATCAAAAACGGTCACTTATTTTCTTTTCTATCGGTATCCGATATTAAATCGTTTTTAATTTTTTTTTTTTTTTTTCTACCCGTTAAATGTCTCGGATAACATCGACGTTATCCGTTTGGCGTTTGATTCGTGTTATCGTATTCCTTACAAAACGGTCATATACAAACCCGGCCTGCGAGAAATCTTAAAACGTCTACGGTTTCTTCGAATGACACGTTATTGATTGGTAAATATTAAGTGGCGTCGGGGATTACTGTGACTTTCAACGTCTGCTCGTAAATTGTCCGTCCCACTCTATCCAAAGAACCCGGCTAAACGCATTCTTTTCCGCTCTTGGTTTCGATCCCTTCCCCATCAAAGCCCTCTCGGGTCAAAACGTTAATGTCATTTTCCGCGTTGCGCTCAACTCTGTTCTCAAATCGGGCCTCCGAGTTTAGGAGTGTGAGTTTTGTCCGCGTTTACGTTTGTTTCTCAATAACGTGTACTCGACAATCGAAATTATAACGCCCTTGTTAAAATCTCATTAATAGAAAATAATAATAATAAAAGCGGCGTCCGCCGCTAGGTGCCCGTGGCAAGGGACGGCGATCGGCGAGAAAAAATAAAAACGAAACCATTGTACCTGCGGTGTCCGAGATGTCGTGTCGAAATCCTATGCTACGGTCGCAGTCGTCGCCGTCGACGGGACGAGGGCATTTCCTCGGGACGCGCGTCGCGGCACTACACTCGGGCGACGGACGACGGAAATGAAACGCGGCGTTCGCCGAGGGGGGTTGTCGGGGGGGGGGGGGGAGAGGCGGTTGGCGAGGGCGAGAGGGGCACGCGATTTTTCGTTTCGTCCGCCCCGACCGGGCGTCGGGATATTGCGTCTCGCCGCGGCGACAGTAACGATAACGCCGACAGAGGCGGAATAAAGAAAGAAAGAACAATGACGACGACGAAAACGTGCGGAACGCGCGAACGCAACGAACGTCGACGGACAACTGTACGACGCGCGCGAGTGGTGCGCCGCCGATAAAGAACAGCGTACGAGTTATTAACGAAGGCCGCCGCCGCCGACACTCCGACAGTTGTCACCGCGAACCGCCGCCGCCGCCGCCGCCGCCGCACGCCGTATTTGTTGTTATAATCGCCGCCGCCGCCGCCGCCGCCGTTTCTTCAAAATGTTCGTCTCGTTCAATTGTTATTGTTGTCGTACCCGAATATAATGCGACCTCCGCGGAACCACGGAGAAATGTTCGAAAGGACCGTGCGCCGGCGTCGGCGGCCGGCCGGGACGGTAATTCCAGAGGGCCGCGAACAAGCGCTCGCCGTTGCGCCGTCGTGGTTTTTTTCGCATTACGCCGGAACACCGGAGCGTTATCACCGAATTCGAGACATCGGACCGAACGCGCGTTATCAACACCACACTGAAACACGCGCTGGCTTCATCAAACGGGCACCGAAGAAGTTCAGCGTTTAACATATGTGTCCGGCGGCTCAAATGAAAAATAACTTTCGCTTCTTGTTTTTTTTTTTTTTTCTGTTTGAATAACGACACGGATATTTTCCGACAAATTCCGTTAACTGTTCAGTCGGGGTTTTTTTTTTTTTTTTTTCA